AATTCCTCTTTGAGAGCCAGGTTTAAGGTCTCTAAGACACAGAGGAAGTAAATATGGAGGGGTTCCTTGGAATACTTTGGGGGGGGGGGTTAAAGCAATTTACCACTTCTAGGCATGACACAGGAAGGGCTGGAGAATGAGGCTGGGGCAGACGGATTTTGGCAGGGATCTAAATCTGAGTTTTGCAAGAGGGATTCTGACGTGAAGCTCGGCCTGCAGCTTCTCCCCAGCCTGAAACCAAAATCCAGGTGGCCCCACTGCTTTGTCTCCAAAGGACACAATTCTGAAAGGTTATTTTCACTCTTCCTCCTGCAGCTACAGCCTGGAATATATCTACACAAAAATTAAGAACCTGGCATCAAAAACATGGGTATCAAAAAGCGGAAAAAAAGAAATATAAACGAATCATTTTGAAAGCTTTTTAAAAACACATATGGTAATCTTGCAGCCATATTAATCCTTGAGATACTCCTGCCAAAGAAGGTGGGAAATGAACAGTGGTGTCCACACAGCAGCCCGGGACACGGTGGCTTCATAGCAGAGAAGCCAAGACGGCTCCTCGGAGCCCAGCCTGGAGGATGGAGGGCACAGATTGGGGGAAAGCTTGGGGCTGCCTTCCTTTAAGTGGCTCAGGATGATACCTCCTGTTAACCCAGCGCGCGGGGGGGGGGGGGGGGGGGGTCAGCCTGTGAACGGGCTGGGGATCCAAAGCTGTGTGGCTTTCAGTCACGTAGCCAGTTAATTTGTCCAAATTGCAGAGAAGCGTTTCTAAGGAAAAATAACTTGGCAGATCGCTTTAAATGTGTTATGTTTTCCAGAATAGTTTCTTAATGATTGACGGTATTTGTACAACTAAGCAGCTTCATTAAAACCTCAAGTGAAGTTCAGACCGAGTTTGTGACCCGCCTACTCGGCCCCCCACAGTTGCCTTGCGCTAGAAGGCCAGGCGCGGGTACCTGATGGGCTCTGTGCCACGGAGGGGGTGGATGTGGAGCTGGCCACGGCTGAGTCACAGCACCCGGTGCTCCTGCTGGAGGACGGGGACGGTGAGGAAGAGGAGGAAGGGTTGGGCTGGTCGAGACACTGGGCTACAGCAAAACCTGCAAGAGAAGAGGGAAGCAGAATTCACACCACACATGCCGGCGCCTTCATGATCGAAGGAGACACTGCAGGGGGGAGAGGAGGGCAACGTTGCAGGGAAACGGGGCAGGTGATTCAGGAGGGGCCCTGTTGGGCAACTCTGAGGTTCCTCTCCTTTTGCTGTTTCTGGAGAGATGCAACTGCCGCCAGCGAGGACTCCGACATATGATTGACGGGGCCTCATTCTGTTTACATCCCGCCCTTCTCCCTGGGCAGGTGCCAAGAATTGCTGCCCTCCCCATTTGGGCAACAAAAAGCCCCTGCTGGAGGCTGAGCACCACCTGCCCCGCACAACACCCTCCGTGGCCATCACAATTGTTCCAAGCCTCCTATCACATCATAGAATGAACTTTCTGTAGCTTCTCCAGAAAACTCTCCGGCCCTTTGGGTCTGCTTCTGGAGGAGGCTCCTTTCCCCAATGGAGCCGTATCCACGTTTCCCTGCAAACCAGGCCGAAGACAGCCCGGGACCTAACGCTGCAGGAACCGCTCCTTGCATCAGTCCTCCAGCTGCTCCCTCCCAAGCAGAGGAGAGGTTCCCCACCCTGGGCAAGAAGAGCAGCTCGTTCCTCCCATGTTAGCCGTCCATCTGCAAGACGGGCCACTCCAAAAGGCCAGGATTGAGCCAAGCGGCCGAGCATCCGCTTGACAATCCCATATGGACCAATTGCCCGGGGCACCAGGAAATGCTAGGCGAAAGTCTGCTTGTTTCCCCGGCTTGGCAACGTCTTAAAACACAAAGAAGGTATGGTACACAATAACAAAACCAAAGAGGTGCTGAGCCCAGAGGAGCGGCTCCTAAGGAATGGGTGTTTGGGTGCTTTGGAGATGGAACAAATGACGGTAAAGACATAAATCATCCTAACTCCCGTGCTGTCTGTCTATCTGTCTGTCTGTCTGTCTCTGCAATTCCTGGGAAGGAGGAAGCTTTGCCTCCTCCTGGGAAAGGATAACCTGCTGCAGAAAAGGCAAGTGAGGTCAAGGGCTGGGGCCTGAAGCTGCGCCTGGGATGTCAACTCCCCAATTCCATCCCAACATCGCTAATCCAAGTGGAACACACACTCCAGCATCCCTTGCGTTTTGCTTGGTTCCTGCCTCTGTTTGGGGTGGGCACACACGGACCCCACTCGCTGCCAGGCAGCCCACCGTCCCTGGAAACGACAAACTGCCTCCAACCATCATTCTGGGGAAGTGCCACCAAATCAAAACAAACAAAAATCCTGGACTCGGATTCCAGAGAAGATCTACTGGCATTTAAAAATAGCTCTTGTGACTCTTCCTAGCTCTTGTGACTCTAAACCCAGTTCTAAAAATAGGAGGACAAGGCTATAAAAAGCTAACTGGCTGCAGAAAGGCTGAGAAGGGCCCGTTGGGCAGAACCGGCTGGGGGCTTGCCTACCCAACGTTTGTTCCCCCACAGACTCCTTGCCCTCCTCCCTGGTCAGACGTTTCCTCCGAGGCCGCTTGAGAGCAGCTGCACATGCTGGCTCTGGAATTCTGGGAGTTGAAGTCCACACCTCTTAAAAAAGGGCCTAGGCCAGTGATGGCTAACCTTTTTGCCGTTGCGTGCCAAAAGCGTGGGGAGCGTGGGGGGGGGTTGCGCGTGCCCATATCCATAATTCCATGCCCCCCACCCCCGCACGTGCGATCCCCCCGCGCTCCTCCACACACGCACGCACGCACACACACCGTACCCCGTTTTGGGCCTAAACGGCCCATTTCCAAACTTCCGGTAGGCCCATTTTTCCCAACTCCCAAGGCTCCAGAAACTTTCCTGGAGCCTGAGGAGGGCAAAAACGGCCTCCCCCTGCCTGCCTGGAGGCCAGAAACAGCCTGTTTCACGACTTCCAGTGGGCCCGGAAGGTCCGTTTTTCACCCTCCCCAGGCTCCAGAAGCTTTCCTGGAGCCTGGGGAGGGTAAAAACAGCCTCCCCCACCCACCTCGGAGGCCGAAAATGCCCTCCCAGAGCCTCCGTGCGAGCCCTGTACTTACCTGGCATCCAAAATGGGCCGCGTGGAGACTCCTGGGAGGGGAAGAGTGGGGTCAGCTGAAAATCAGCTGGCTGGTGCGTGCATGCATGCTGGAGCTGAGCTAGGGCAATGGCTCGCGTCCTCACAGATTTGGCTCTGCATGCCACCTGTGGCACGCGAGCCATAGGTTCGCCATCACGGGCCTAGGCGGAGAAACATGGCTCCAAGCTCAAAAACTCCCTACACCGCACATCCAACCTCCTGGGTCTCTGCCTGAGTCCCCCACCCCTCTCTATAATTCTCACATCAAATCCACCTCCAAACAGCATGGCATATTCATTTACATCAACAGCTAACACAGGGGTAGGGGTCTCTTTAAGACTGTTCTCCAAAGGAACTGCTGCTAACAATGGAGGCCAGAGACTTGATTGGCAGATTTTTCTGGAAAGGGGTGGGGTGGGGAGAGGGAAGAGACCATGATATTCTTTGATTGCCCAAGGCTGTTCCACTCAAAGGAACGTTTACAGAACTTCTTGTAAGGGGAAGGCTGGGACCAAGTGGGGGAGCTCCACTCTTAGCACAGTGTTTCATCTGCATGGGTGACTCACTTACAACTTCCTCCCGTTGCCCTGTTTACAGGGACTCCAAGGGAAGCGCTGCTCCCTCCGCTAGTCTGGAAGTGCTGATGGCCGTCCCTTCCCAGCACCGGGTGCCAGCAGCCTTCCCTCTCCCATTTTCAAGGCCCTCCTGGAAACAGGACTTCCAGGACCCCTCCTTCTGAGCAGCCACCGCAGCCTCGGAATTGTGCCTCTGTCCCTCTTTGCCTCCACTCGACAGGACCACACTCGCAAATGACACAGGTTTTCCTTCATCACAGCTCTATTGGCAACCGCCCTATAACTTGAGGGGATGCCCTGGAAGGGCTCCACCTCATCAATGCCACCCAAGTGATGGCAGCTTTGTTTACTGTTCTCCATGGTGACTCTGCCCATAGGGTGCAATCTCCAACCATTGTGTGCCAGCCTCTGTATGGAGACGCTGGGGGTCTTGCCTTGGAGGCTCAGCAAAGGTGCAGAGTTTATGTTTCAAATGTGCTGCCTGGCTGCTAACCATTTGCCCTGTGCCAAATGCTGGATGGAACCAGGCTGAGCTCCTTGAACTCCTTGTGTAACTGGAGCTCATTCCATGTTAAATGCACCACAAACGATGGTACCTGACAGGAACTAGGAGAGGAGAAGGGAGCAGGCTTGCTTGGCAAGGCCCAGCCTCCTCTCAGCACCAGATCTCCGGCTGAATCACCAGCGATCTGAATGCACGGCAGAATTTTGAGAATGTGATCATGCCACTTTCAACTGAAGAGATAAGAAATCTATGAAAAAGATTCTTTTTAACAAAATCAGCAACAGGAAATAGCACCCATGTCTGCCAGAAAATACAATACTTTTGAAAACCGCAGCTTCACAGAAGTCAGTAAACCTGTTGTTTAGGTAGACCTTGGGAAGACTTCATGGCCTAAAAACCAGCTGTTCACGGCACCAGTGGAATGAAGGCATTTGCAAAAGAAAGTCCTCGCCCCCCTCCCCTCAGGGAAATCATTGCATCAGAAGGGCAATTTCTAGGAACAGAAATTTCAGTCAAGAGCTGGAAGTCAATAAAATCTCAAGGGTAGAAAGTTCAGAAAGTGTCTGTTTTCAAAAAATGTTAAGCAAGGTGGGGAAATGGTTGGTACTTATTATTACTAGTGGACTGTGAGAAGACAAACATAGATACATCTGGATCACCAGGTCATGAAAAGTCAGGTGACAAAATTATTTTCTTAAGGCAAAACTTTTCAGACCCATCACTTCTCATCTCCTTGAGATAATTAAAAGCCAAAGAAATCCAGAGGGGCTGAAGGTCTAGTACGTTTATTGAAAATAGTGGCTATTTTCAGGAAGTGCAGAAGAAACCCAACACTGTGATATTTGACTTCAGAAATAAAGAATGTTTTATTTTTTAAAAATGAGGAGAGTGGCCAAAAGGAAATTGACGGGGAAAGTTAAGGGGACCAGGCCTCTCCAGAACACACTGTCTGAAAATGGGCCCTGACCCGTCTTTATAGTCCTCTGAATCAGGTGATCGCTCTCCTCCAGAGACTAGTTTGCTTCAGCAATCTGGGGGCTGAACTTGAAATAGAAGATCCCCCACCCCCACTTCAACACGAGAAAATCAGTGGTTGCATGGAGAGTCTTAAGAGACACCCTCCCCCCACAGACCCCCCTTTTCTTGTGCTCTACATGAATTGTGGTGATTCAATTTCCAAGCAACAAAGATGACATGATAGTCTGCCTTACTAAGCGCTACTATGAAACAGGCGACGACAGCTCAGAGGAAAAAGAAGACACCCAAACACCCTGCCCTCCAGGGAAAACCACAGAAACACCAGGCTCCACTCGCATGTGGACGAGGGGCATTGTGCTGGCTTTGCATCACAGCAGCCTTCCAAAACCCCACAGCCCTAAACTTCCCCCCCTCTTCCCCACAGCCCTGGGGATGGCCTGTGACACGGGCTTCCAAGGAAAACGCAGCAAGGCTTTGCCTCTGAGGCAGGGTGGCCTAATGCTGGGCTATTGGTTCGTGACTCTTTCCCAGGGTTGATGGGAAATGAGCCCACAAGCTCACTGACTGTCACCCAGCTTCTATCATTAAAAATGACCAGCAGCGCCATAAAACAGGAGGTTGTGAAATCCCCTGCCTTGCAATGCAAATTAAGAAACAGGACCTGGGCTTATCTCGCTCTGAGCTATCAGACACCTTATCCCTCTTTCTTCTTCTTCTTCAGAAAGGCTCATTTGGCTATCAGGAGGCCAATTAGCACACAGCTAGTTCTCACAAACCTATCAGATGGATTATGTCATTTATAGCTTCTATGGAAGGACACATCATTCCGCTGCCAGTGCAAAGAGGCAGTTTCTGTTTGTAAAAGGAAGAAAGAAAAGCTAATCACAGCCTCTTGTTCACCTAAAAAAGGCATCTTTTTCTTCTCCTGAAATGCTCTGTTGCATTGCTGTAAACTTGGCTACCGTAATGTGGTGTCAGCCTTCCAGCTAAAAAGATTTCAAAAGCAGAACTGGGAGAAGAAAAACAGCCCTTATGAAAGGGTCAAAAGACACGGTTCTGGGTTGAGGCCCAAGGGATTGGCCCCAAGCCCCCCAAGGCCTCGGAGCTTCACCTTCAGCCTTTGCAACCTGCCAATCCTGCTCTAGGCCAGCTGGACGGACGGACGGACGGAGTCCCTGTCCACAGCCTCCTCGGCCATCCATCTGCACTGGGACCACTGGGCCTCTCAAATCACATTTTGGGTCCCCTCCTCTCCCTCCCAACCACTGAAGGCCAGACTGGTACAGATTCTCGGCTGTTTTTAGTGTTCCAAGCTTCCGTGCGCCCTTTCCCCCCAGTCCATGTAAGCCTGATTATTTTTCTTCCTATTCGGCAGCCTCCATCCACAACAGTCGGCTTCTCTCGCCTAGCGCTTCTTCAAGCAAAGGAACTGGAAGTGGTGGCGGCGGTGGCAGCGATGAGGAGCGGGGTCCCTTCTGAGGAGTCTCTTCCTCTGTGCCCCTGCTTGCAAAAGAGAGTTGCTCTCAGGTAATGAGTCTGCCCAGGACGATTCTTTAACCACACCTGCTCCGTTTGGGGCCAAAGCCGTGCCGGGATGCCTCACCGCAGGCTCGAGTGAGCCGGGGCTGCTGAAGGGCGATGAAGGGAGGCTTCTGACCCCGAACTGCCAGGCTGCTTTGGAAAGGCTCGCGCAGAAGGCTCCCTAGCCCAGGAAATCCTGGATGGCTGCATCCTCCTGCAGGGAGCAGGTCCAGTGGGCTTTTCCAATTCAGAAGCCGTGGGAGGCGATGGCTTGACAGCCTTCTCGGTGCTGGGCAAGCAGGGAGCACAAGAGACGGGATCCCCACATCCCCGTTTCCAACCAGGCGGTGCTGGGATGAAAACTGGAGGTCTGAACTGAGCTACAGTATTGACGGCTGCCAAGAGGGTACATGACCCTGGTGGGCAAACTCTTCCCTTGGGCCTCTCGGCCAAAACACGCCAACCAGTCGCCAGAAGCAGATTTCTGTGGGTGCCGTTGGTTCTGCCGAATGCCGCCTGGATGGGGGAATCCCAATGAAAGGGAAGCCGAGGGGAGCAGACCCCTCTCGCCCCATCTTCAGAAAACAACATGCCTCGCTCGTACTGCCAAACACCTTTGTTCAGAGCCCAGGAAGCTGCAAGTGGCCCACCTGGGAGGATGGCCCTTGCCCCCAGGCCTGCTCAGGAACCCACTGATCGGGAGATGTGTCAACCTAGGCCTCCACTCTCCACAGGGCTGCTATCTATGCAGGTGGCCCCTTTGAGGACCCCTCAAGGCCCAGATCTAGGGAAGGCACCAGTCTGGATGAAAGCACCAAAGGGACCGGCTGAAGCCCCCAAATGTGTGGCTTTTCTTTTCGCCACAGCCCTTGACGGAGCCAAAGCAGAAGAGCCTCTGAAACAGATCATGGTTCAGCTGTCAAATCCAAAGCTGACCTCAACTTTCTGTCAGGCCAGCTTCCTGGCCCCTAAGAGTGCCAAATTCATCGCTGGTGCGAGCGTCTCCCTCCAGCCGTGGCCTCTGCACCGTGTGACACAACTGACGTAATTCCCGTGCCTAGTGTAATGACCGGCACTCTTGCCCACGAACAAGCAGCAGCTGTGTTTGTCTCGGCCTCCAACTCTAGACGTGGCTGCAGCCCCCCTGCACCTGGAGGCTGCCTGCTGGAAAGGCTGCCCGGCTATTTCCCAAGCACCGACTGGGCTGCCACCTGAGCTCCACGCGGGCTCTGCCTGCAGCCCTTCCAGCACTTCCCCCCTGGCTCATTTTCTGGGTTGGGTTACCTAGCCAGTTTTTTAGGTTTCTCTAGGCAATATCAAAAGAAATGGATTTAATATACTCTGGAACTATCAAGGTTTTGCTTTGATCTATCAATTTGGATCATTTCATTTTAAAAAATATCACTTTCTAACATTATAGGATCTTTTTTCACAACCACACAGTGTAAGAAAGAGAATCACACCTATAAGAATGAATGCTTATAAAAATTCAATTTTAAAATATTCAGGACTCACATGAGCAGTAAGTACTCTTAGGCAGTAAGCATAGGTGACAAGAGGAAATTTGATTTCAATCCATGATTTAAACAGCATAGTTTCCTAGCTTTATTAAGTTGAAGATTTTATATAATTGTTGAGTTTAATCTGTTTTAATCGACAAAAGCAGAGCATTTTTGGAGGCTACTTCTATGGGATTCACAGACCAGAGACATAACAAACACAACACAGCCAACTGCAAATAGAAGCACCAGGTTTAAATGCCACATATAAATAAAACAGAATCAGAAATGATGGAAACAAAGGATATTCAATAATCTAAACGCAACAGCTGCCACCCACGGGCTTCTTCCTGTGGAGCCTGTTCTCACACACCTTTAAGCCTCTCCCATCTAGGCTCCATCACAAGAAGACTCGGGTAAAGACCTCTTTAGAGAAACAACAAGGCAACATTAGCACGTACCTGAAGCATTTAAAAAATCTTGCTGGAGAGATGCCAGATTACTCTAAGCCCTCAAAAGCTCCCCTTCCCCCCCCCCCCCGAAGGTCCCACCAGGACAGTTCCTCAAACAGAGTTTCTTTTGGTTTGCATGTCAACAGCACCATCAAGTTTTAATTACTTTTTAAAAAAGGTTACATCTTTTTATTTTTGCATTTTTAACTCATTTCATTTATTATGTTTTTGGATTCTGAACTTTCTTACATGTCACTCTGACAGCATTCTTGCTACAGGGTGGCAAAGGAAGATTTTTAAATGAAGTTGTCTCTAAAAATAATAGGAATATTATCGCAGAAAGAGAAACTCGTTTGCCAAAGAACATCAGGTTACGCCTTCCTCTGCCACACTGCCGTAACCTCACTGTGGCATCTTACCTAAGATGCACCCGGGGGAGGAGGAAGGCGGAGGGAGGCGGGAGCTTACCTGGGACTTTGTCGACGGAGGCAAACACTGAGCGCTGCACTGTTGGGTCACAGCTGCTCCGCCGGGTTTGCTCATAAAACCGGAATGGCAGGTGTGATGTGGCAGCTGAGCTGTGTCCAAAGCCCATCACTTCATTGGCTGGCTGGATGGGCAGGTCCAGAAGCGCTGGGTTCAAGGAGACACACGTTACATTTTGGCTAAGAAACTAAGAAAGCCGAGACTGCACCAGTGTGCAGGGATGCCAGGTCCCTCGCTTGGAAGGCCTCAAGCTCTCTCCCCTCTGGAGATAAATGCTCCTTTTCTTGGCTGATTTACTATGACTTGGGAGCTGTGATCCCACAATGGCTCTCCCAAGACTAGCCCGGAATAGGAAAGCGAGAAGAAAGAACGGCTTCTGTCTTGCTTGGGAAAAAGCAGGCCGGCCTGCCCAATTTGCAAGAGGTGAAGAAGCCCAATGGGACCCTGAGAGCAACAAGAGGACCAGGCCGGTACCTGCGATTCTTTGCATTTTCATCCGCCGAGCCTGGATCCTTCCCTTGGCCAGGCGCTGCTTCGCAATGATGCAACGGATGTGATCCGAAAAAACAAAGGTGGCCTGAAGGATGGGGAAGGGTTTGGAATGCGGGCTGGAAGCCGGCTTGTGTATGACGATATTCAGGGCCCGGCTATCGTCTTCCACTCCTGTCACCTGCATGTCCTGCAAGGGGCAAGGAAGGAAATGCACGGGGTCAGCAGAGGCTGGAGCTGAGAGCCGAGATCCAGCCCAGGCACCAGAGCTACCTTTGCAAAAGACAAGGCAGAGGCAGTTTGTCTTTCTCACTGCAGCCAAACCAGCCCCACTTTCTTCTTTCTCCCTATGAACGGAGAAGGCTAAGCAAGGGGCCATGAGGCTCAGAGGCTTCATGCTGACTGCATTCACAAAACACGCTAGCCCAGTTTCAGGAGTCACTTCTTCAGCTTGCACAACAACACACAGAACAGGTTTGCTAACCAAAGAGGCCGAATTTGCATAAGGCACTAAGCAACCGTGATGAATACAAATTGAGCTCCAGGGATTCTGCCAAGGCAGCTGCTAGATCTGTCGCTGAGCTGACTCCCCTTGTCATGTGGAGCCAGTCAATTACGGCATGATGAACCCCAAATACGGTGCTGGTTATTCCTGTTGCTTTAAAGTCGATAAACTGGAAGCCGGTTAGCCACAAACAAATACTGGCAAGTCTCCTCTTGCAGGAAGCTGTGCGCACCGGCAGCTGCTCAGGCGCATTCGACCAGAAAAAGGTAAGCCACCTGACTTAGAGAGGAACAGGGTGAAAGAGAAAACGGCCACGAATCCCCGCTCTCAAAACATCCCAGGTGCCTCTCATCTGAAAAATTCAGGAAGAGTCTCAGCACCTTCACCTTTGGGAAGCCCCTAAGAGTTCGGTGGCTTTTCTGGGCAGGAGACTGGTCCCTCTCCACGTGGGGGGCGGCCAGGGGGTGGGGGCAGTTGCTCATCATCAGTGGCCAAGGAAGGGTTTGCTATACAGTGGCTGAAGGCTCCGCTTGCCAGAACCTGCAGACACCTGTGCTGTCATTTAGGCAGCTCAAAACCTGAAGCATCTGTCAGGTTTTATGCTCACCTGGAGAAGGCCAGCAAATTTAACGACTCCCCAGCCTAAGCGCCCAACATCTGGCTCCACCAAACTCATCTGGTAAATATCCACTGCCAGAAACCTCTGGACCTGACCGCTGTCCTTGGTGATCACAGTGCAGGCAATCAAATCACTGTTATCTGAAGAAGAAGAGCAGGAAGGAGAGCCATTACCGAGGTGATCCAGTGGGTTATCCTGAAGGAGAACTCTTGAATCGCATTCTTTCCAACTACTTTTATTGGGAGGTTCACTCCTCTACCTGGTGCTTTTTATCCCTTTTTGTCTGAAGGCCCCAAGAGAGACCCACATCTTACGACCTGACAAAAGGCTGCCCTGGAAGAGGACACTTGCGTAATTAAGGCCTCTCTTACTTGGCATCATCTGGGTATCTATTTTTCTAATTGTTTTCTCCCATCTATTCTCTATCTATTTTATCTCTATATCCTTATTCATATTTCCTTTCTAACCAGTCATAAAATTTATCCCATGTCTTGAAGAATGGGAAGGGGGAGGGTAAAGGTAAAAGGGAAAGAAGTGAGATATTATAAAAATGTACACAAATGATGAAACAAAAATAAATATTAATCGAATGAGAAATTGACATGAGAAAGATAATTAGAAAATCGGGGCTGCTCGAATACCACTTTAGATTGGACTGAAAAGGGAAACAACAAGAGAGAGGGGAAGGAGTAGAGAGAGAGGAAGGGAGAAGAGAGGAGAGCAGAGGAGAGGAGAAAAAAGAAAGGGAAAAGGAGAGGAAGAAAAGGGAGGGGAAAGAGGAGTAGAAGAGAAGGTTAGAAGGGGGAAAGAAGAGAGTGGGGGAAGGGAAGGAGGAGTAGGAAAGAGAAGGAGAGGAAGAACGAAGGAAGTAGGAGGAGAAAGAGGAAGGAAGAGAAGGGGAGGAGAAGAAGAAAGGTTGGAGTAAAGGTAAAGGGTAAAAGAGCAGCCCCTAAAAAGTAAAAATGAAAAATGAAAGTTAAAAGATGAATGAAAAATGATGGATAAATGATTGTACATGTAAATGTGTTTATGAGAAATAAAAATAAAAAACTTTTTTGAAAAAAAAAAGAGGCCTCTCTGTGTTGCCCATCGACTTCTATTTGCTCAACTTTGAATACCCTTTGTCCCCACTAAAACGGGGTTGCTTTTCCCCTTTATAGAAGAGAACTAAACACAAGTTGGGCGCGAGAGCATGTCAGCTTGCCTCTTTCAAAATTCATGGTTATCAGCCAGAGCAAAGGGCCAGGACAAGCGCTCGGCAGGTGCAGAAGGAAAGTCTGGGGTTGCAATCAGCGGCTGAGATGGGGCAGAATCACCACCGCAGCTCCTGCCTGGAGTGTGGTTTGAACAGCCTGGCTGGCCCACTAAATGCCAGGAGTCAGTCTTTCACAGGCAGAACATACAGACCAACAGAGCCGGTCTCCTCGAGGCCGAAGACAACTAACCTCCACAGGACAGAATTTGGCTTCCAGGAAAAATAACCAAACTAGTATTATTAAAATTTGCAATAACTGTGATCGGAATGTTGGGAACGGCATGTTTAGTCAAGACAGACTGGGAAACTGAACTGCAAAATGCGATTTAATGCTCCAGAGCGCAATTGTGATTGTTCTATGAAACAGAGTCAGGGTTACAGGAATAGACATTAAAACCACATCAATGAGCATTACTGAAAATTAAAAAAGAAGAGGGAGGGCAAAACAGGTACTAATCAAAAAATCAATATGCAAGAAACAACAATATTCCATTTTGAAAGCCAACAGGAATATTGTAATTTGATTTGTTTCAAGCACATCCATATAAAAGAGTTGACAGCTACATTGTAATTATATCCAGTTAGTTTGCAAGCTTATTTAATTGCTGCTCTGGGAAGCCTTTTCCCGAGAGTCCAGAGCAATTCACAAGCATAACTCCCAGGAAAGCAAGAAAGGACCCCAGAGCAGCCTCATTTCCTAGCACATGGGCAGAGAGCATCATCTGGCCTGAAGGCCACCCCTCTCCCCTTTAGGCTTTCTCCTCCCCAGGGGCTCCCATTCCCCTTATTTCCATCATGTTTCCCACCCCTTTGCAGTGGGACTGCTGAGCAGGCTGACTGGAACAGAAGAGATGCACCACGTCAATTTGGCCTGGCCTTCCCCTCGCCTCTCTCAGCCACTGCCCGTCCAGGAGTTGTTTCCCCTGAATCTCTGCCACTGACCCAGAGTCCAGATGGCTTTTTCTCTGGACTTTGGGAGAGGAAGCACTCAGCGGGAAGAGGAGGAGGAGGATCGAATGGCTGCTTGAAATCATCCAGGCTTTCTCGCTCGCTCAGGGCCACAAAGCCAGGTCAAAAAATGCAGAGTTCAACTTCCTAAAATACCCATTATAGTAAAATAAATTCTTTTATAATTACTACCGTAAATGTGACTGACATTTTTCTATTCATAGCAGCTTTATGTACCCAAAGTGAAACAAGGGCACTGCACTTCCTAGCATACCCAATTTATCCTCATCACAGGGCTATTTTGGGACTTCCAGTTAGTGTTACTGTGACAAGTGATTTCACATCTCCCAGACCAAAAAAAAAAAAGGGGGGGGGGAATTAGGAGACCCACACAGAGCCAGGAGGGACGAAATGGCCTTCCTTCAGCTCAACTGGTCCTTCTGATACGGCCTACGTATGATCTGCAACAATGGTTACCATACAGAACAGCTATAGATGGCCCCAAATCGGTGGTGGGTATTACTTACCTTTGCTACTGGTTAGCTTGCGCACGTCCACGCCACTTCTGCGCATGCACAGAGCATTTTGGATGACGTCTGGGCGGAGCCTCCCGCTGCTGCTGCTACTGGCTTGCCCGAACTGGGGCGAACGGGTAGCAACCCCCCACTGCCCCAAATCTTTTTCCCTCCCGACCAGTTAAGACCCCACTGTGCACTGAGAGAAGGCCATCAATAGAGCCTTGATAGTACAGTGGTTTAATGCACCCTGTAATTAACACAGCTGCCTGCAATTTCTGCTGGTTCGAATCTCTCCAAGGCTCAAGGTTGACTCAGCCTTCCATCCTTTCTAAGGTAGGTAAATTGAGGACCCAGTTTGTGGGGGCAATAAGCTGACTTTGTATAAATATACAAAAGTATGAAGGCTATTGCTTAGCGCATTGTAAGCTGCCCTGAGTCTCCAGAGAAGGGCGGCATATAAATCAAATAAAAAAAAAATAAAAAAATCAAGGTGTGTGTGTGTGCGCATGCACGTAGCATTCTGGAAGCAAAGAACCTGAAAGCAGGAGGAACTAAAACAATGATGGGGAACCTATTGTATTTTCCCAAGGAAGCTGAGCACCAGCTCGGCTTCTCTCCTGGGTGGCTACTCACTCAGATCAAGGACGTCGTCTGTCTTAATTAAGTCTTCCTCCCTCGTCAGAGGCAACTGAGTCTCTGGCTCATTCTGAAGGTGCAGTGACAGAGAACGCAGCATGAAGAACACTCGGATGGCCTGAAGGCACAAAAAAGGCAAGAGGGAAGAGGTTCAAGCAGGATACGCAATGAAAAGTGTCTTAAAGCACTGAATATTCTGTGTAAAAAGATAAAACTTTTCCACACTTTTCATTGCCAGCCAATTCATTTCCTCTTTGATTTTTAAAACTCTTTTGAGTAGCCTGCCATACAGGTACACAGGAGCAGTTCAGGATATGGCAGCATGGAAAATTAGGAACAGTAAGAAATCCAGCCCATAATTCTTTGGTCCAAGAACTGCAGGCTTCTTTAATCATCTCCCCAGGGATGGATGGAAAGAGCCAGCCGCCAACGCTCCACACCAGCATTCCCCACCCTTCAGGGAAAGGTTGGCTCCAAATGTCATCATCTCTGGCCAGCGTATCAAAAGAATTGAACTGAATTCACAGTCCAGGCTGGCTGGGAACCATGCGAGTTGTCAGATGATTGATGGAGAGGGGAAAGGTACTTTACACTGCATTTGCTGTGCCCATTTTCTGAGAATACAAAAATACAGAAACCCAGAAAAAAAAACCTGCAAATGGCTGCCACTGCTTTCCACTTTATAGTATGATCTAACAGATGACAAAGAACAGGTGGAAAAAAGATTTACTGTAGGTCTGTTTGGCAAATCATTAACTCCCAAAGCCATTGTGGATTTGCTGCTAGATAAAAACAACCAGTTCTTTATCAGCAAAGTAATAATTGAAATGGGTCTTGAAACACCAGCTTTTGAAAAAGAAAAACAGAAAGAAAGAAAAAAGACCGGGATGTAAAGTCTTGAATTTTCTTTTTCTGAGCCCAGTTCAGGCTACTGGGAGGATGAGACGGATTCCATAAGGACGTTGGAAGGTGCACAGATGGTTTTAGGCTACATAATGTTGCCCTTGAATGGTCCAGAAGAAGCCTCACCCAGAAACTGCTAGGGGTTGTAGTGGTGTCTCTCTGTATGCACATGCACATCTGGAAACATCTGTATAGGTGTGAAAGAGAGACCAAGAAGCCCATCCTAGGCAGTTGCACCGGGCTTTTTTTCAAACCTGGCCCTTGATGGGATCTTAAAATGGTGGGTAAGTGGAGGAAGATGACCCTTCCTTCAACGAGGCCCTTGAGGCCTCCCCTGGTCAACACCATGAATGGGTCCCAAATCAAACAGGTAGCCAGCGCTACGGTTCAGAACCGCTGGCCTGGCAACTTCTTTTTCAACCAGTTCTCATCTCTGAGGTCTTTTCAAAGGCAGCCCAAACATGCAGGAAACAGCAACAATCAAGCCAAAATGATTAGCCTTCACTAGACAAGGCTGGGCTTAATAAACTGGTTGACACAGGAGGATTTGATCGCAGGAGGATTTGTTTGTCAGGCAAAGGATATAACACTGCCACAGCAATTACATCTTATTTATTCAAGGATTTGGTGGGTTTTGTGAATTCAGCCCGAAAATGTCACTTGGGTCATTTTTAGGTATGCTGGCAAAAATCAAGAAGTTACTCAAGGCTCAACCAAGAGTTTGCAAAGGGATGTGGTTTGTGGCTTCCTACAGAAAGAGATAATTTTTTAATGTACTTTATTTACATGCATTAGAATGCAACCTTTGTTTGTAAGGACAAAATCTACGTACAAAGGTTATCACCACCTTGTAATTCTGGACAGATGACCTAAAATCTCTATTTCCAGGCAGCAAAAACTCTTGCTTCAACTATTATCAAAAATAGGAACATTAACCTTTTTTTAATCGTTCAAGACTAAATGATCCAAGATTCATTACAAATAGATTTATAGTATGGCTTTTCTTCATGACCCCGGCTATTCAGAAACCCCTTTTAAAAAGAGTATGGTTTATTCTAGGAAAAGGCTCCTTGACTTTCCCAGAAGCCTGTTATAGTGAAAAACAAGATAAGAGATAATGTAGCGATAAGAGCTGCATAAACCGAACTATTCAGAGCCCAGCCTCGTAGCTGGGATTTCCAAGAAAGCTCTTCAGGCTCTTCTGTAGCTCCCCCCACCCCCCGCCTCCCCAGGCACAGCCCACTTGAGGCAGCTGAGAGCAGAGAGCCCTCAGAGTCGGATCAGCCCAGCAATCAGATCAGGCATTCACACGCAGGACGGCAGAAGGAAAGAAACGGACCATCTGGCAGGAATGCTCCCAGTACCAACCATTCTGTTTCTCATCGACAGCTTTACAGGAAGGAGAGAAGGGAGCCTGTGGAACCCAGAGCTCCTCTAAACAGGCATTAAGGGGGCCATTTGTCTTTTTTACAGCAAGCTGGTTACAGAGTTTGTGACGCAGGTCTTTCTCAGAAGCTCCTTTCCGTGCGACAGGGCTTGACACGCTTCAACACTTTTGTCATGCTCCACATGCACTCACAGGTGGCTGTGCACTTCCCTAGCTTGCATCACATGTGTGGGGCGAATATAATGCCCCCCTCCCAACTCTGAGTGCTTCTACCTCTCTAGCCTCATGGCATTCCCTCATTACTTTCTCTTTTCCAATCATCTTTTGCAAAAGCTCATGGAGAGAAGAGTCTGAGCAGATTTTCTACCAGGGAGGGAGGGAGGGAGGAAGCTACAGAGTTGCTGGCACAATCCCTGCAAGCCCCCACAGTGGCAGAATCACGTCAATCTCCTGGCATGAGCAGGGTGGCCAGAGTGGCCAGCTAGGAGAGACCCAGGCAAACCTCCACCCAACTGTGCAGCTGTTCCAGGTGAAGGCAGGGAACCACTGCGTCCCTTGAGCACTTAGGACTGAAGGGCAAAGCCCCGAGGGAGGCACACTCACCCTCCTGGTTCTCTCCACATCGCCACAGGGGAGCCTCTTAACGAAGTCAATCCCCGTGAGGGGGGTTCCCGTGGGGGGCAGCAGAATGGAAGCGTCCATCATCAAGTACTCCACATTCATGGGCTTCAGCTGGAAGAAGAAATGCTACACTCAACTTCAAGTACAAACCCCAGCCACCTTACCTCCTCCTTCTCCTCCCCCTCTTCCAAGGAGGAGACCATAGCAGGATGAAGACAACCCTTTCCACAGGTGACCACAGAAAGGCTCCGGTCTCTCAGGCCGTGGCCAACATCCACCCTTAAAGACAGATACAGCCCCTCAGGGTTTAGTGCATTTCCCCCCACCTCAAAAAAGAGCCACTGGGGTTGAATAGCGGAGGGTCACCCATTCTGCAGCTCAGATTCATCCCTTCTCCAGCTTTGCCAACGCGTCCAGCTTTCTCCCTGTTCAACTGTTCCATTTATGCAGTGCTATTAATCTTTAATTGATATTTTGCCTATTTTATGGGTCTTCTTCAATACTTCCTCCCCTTTCCTTAAAAGGTGACTGATAAAAGGCTAATAACAATAGCACTTTTAGATAAAACTTTACAACAATGTTTGCAACAATGTTCCACTTTGCCAGTTTTGTATCTCTCTGGCAATTTGTTCATTACTTACCATCATAGTTCTATATTCATCTTCAAACATATCCAGAAAGATTTCTTCTCCCTTTAAAGAAAGTAAAGATTTCATTTTTTCCCTGCATAAGCATTCTCAGGGTGGTAATGTTACTTCTTTAATGATGGGCTTAAATCAACCTTTCTTTCCATTATCCCACTTTCCTGAAGATCTACTTCTGTCCCTATTTACTTCTTCTATTTAAAGACGTATTTATCGGGAGGAAAGGTTATACCTCCCTAATTTGCCATGCCTGGAGCTGAGGCCACTTGCTTAATCATGCAGCTGCTTTTGAAGTGTTTCTCTCCTGTTCCCGGTGTTTTGTTTCCTGTGAGTCAAGGACCAATTCAGAAGAAGAAACTCCTCCTCAGACTCTCGCCAGCCGAAGGACCCCTTTTCTGAGACAGACTCTCTACCAACCATATCTAAAGCACTCGATTAAATCAGCTGTAGGCATGCTGGGACATCTGACAGCCGGCCAGCTTTCCTGGGCAACTGTTTAAACCATTTAAATGATGATCCACCTGTCCTCTGTTAGACATGTCCCAATGAGGGGGCCCTTTCAACCATGGTCAGAGACTCCTTCCCTGTAGCTCATACTGCCAGCTTGGAAACTCTCTTGCTCCATGCAAACTTTGTGAGGAATCATTCAATGCAGTAACATCCAAAACCTGAAGTGCCTCAGAGGCCACAACTGATCAGAACCAGGCATGAAAAGTTCTATCGAGCGGGAGAGAAACGACCAAACGCCTGGCATCCAATTGCAACAGTCTCTCTGGAAACCTGAACAGTCATGCCCAGCTCCCTTGGATGTTTCCAGAATTCAGTTTGGGAGGGTTAAAGGCTGGGAGGTTACCTTGTAAAAACGCCGCACCAGGTGAACGCTTTCTTCTCTTGCCCCCTTAAACAGAAATGAAAAATCCTCAGTTCAGGACACAAAATGTTGAGGATAACAGAAGTAGCATGCCGTCTCCCTGCATGATCTCCCCTCCCCAACATGAACTCTTTGCTCCCTGAAAATGATTAAGAAAGGAAAATGTGGATCATGGCGCTCCTTAGTCAGGTCCACACAGGCTGGGAGCAATGGGTGGAAACGAAAGAATCAAAGCCTATGAAGAGCGACTGGCTATGGGCAAAGATCACAAATCAAAAGGAGCAAAGATTGCAGGGTGAAGAAAGGGATCCCTCTTCCCAAGAATCCAGGCAGGGTGGCTCAAATTCTGCTGCCAAGGGAGGGAAGGAGCTTCATTCCACGAGGGAATCTCCCGAGGTTCACATAGGGGACCCCTGAGCCTCAGAGTCCTGCTATCAGTTCCAGATACTTGCTGGAAAAAGCAGGGACAGATTCCAGCTGCACAAAGGGTTCTCCTACGGGGAAAGGATCATTCGTGGTTTGGCAATTTACTTCGGAAGAGAGTTCGACCTAACAGGACACATCACTGCTGGGAGACAGTTTTGTTTTCTGTTTCTTGTTTAAAAAGACTCACTTCCAAACAAGCAAGGTGCACATCTTTGATAATGCTGCCGTGTTTGTTGAACACCAGCTGCTTCAACAGGAGGCAGCCCAGCTCCAAGGTGGCCAGACGGATTTTGCCATCTGTGGGGGGGGGGGGGGGGGGGGGAGGAGAGGAGAGGAGGAGAGGGAAACAGAGCTGAAGATTCAGAGAAAATTTATTGAACTTTTGACACTTTTTCCTGGCAGATCCAGTTTCAGTTCACATCTGTCCCACACCAATTCAAGGGGGTGGGGGGGAGTTTAACACACCAACAGCGAAATGCTTTCTGCCCCTAAAGATAAAAACATTACAGAGAAGTGGGTGGAAATTCCACCAGGCATTAAGAAGCAGGAATCTTATTCATAGGCAGAAAAAGGGCAGAACCGCTTTGTGTGGGCTATTTTTGATTTATTTTTTTTTACTAGTCCAAGAGCGTAATAGCAGCCTGTCTCTTTGCCGATTGTGGAGGGAAGTTCTTGCCTACACAACTCTGGACAGTTATAAGCTCCCTGTCCTGGGAGATACCCGCTGCTTGGAACTGCTGCATGCCAAAGAAGGCTGGTGGGTTTATAATGACTCTTCCCGAAGTGTTTAAACAGCTGCTTGCTGGTTTCTGCTCTTATTGTCAAAAACTGCTCTCGGAAGAAAAACTGCATGTTTCCTCCTTTTTCAAAAACGTGTTTTAGACCACACACAGCTGTGCAGTTCCAGGACTGACGTGTGGGAAGTGAAGGTGGTTCATGAGAAACCTCTACCTGGCTGAGCAGCGTAGCTCATGATCCTGATGAGCCTCTCCGCAAGCCCGGGGTTGTAGGAATTCTTCTCCTCAGCGTCCTGTGCCGAGAGCTGAATCCTCTCCAGGGTGATCTGCTTGATTCCTTGGGAGAAACAGGAATTGAATGTTGCAATTACAGCTCGGTCTGGCAAAGCAATTCCGAGGAACCACCAAAATAAAGGGCAGCTCAGCTTGCAGTACAATTCCTCAAAGCAGCCCACACAAAAATTTGGAAAGTTTAGGAGGCGAGGATTTCTTTCTTTCTTTCATTAGATTTGGGTGTCACGCCACTTTAAGCCGACTCTGAGCTGCTAATAAAGATGGTGAAACACTAGCCCCATTCACACAACGTGAACCAACCCGCCTTCCTCTCTCTCTCCCATCCACTGAATTCATCTTTAGCTTCCCTCCAACTCATGACCCTGATAAGCTTCTGAAAGTCTTGGGACCAGGTGATTCTTCTTCTCAAGGAGCAGTTCCACCAGCCCTCCTGTGGTCAACTCCTCCTGGGTCTCCTGGCAATGTGAATGGCACTGCTTGATGTTTTTGATCCTTGGGAGGGGGAGGGGAGGAAAGGGCTGATAAAACCTAAATCAACACCTTGAGAGCCACTTCAAACCTCCTCTGAATATGCTTCTCACTTCCTTCGTACAAAGGATGTTCTCACCAGACACTCTGGTACTCAGAGAGGATGCAGAGCCAAGAGGAGGGCTAGCCCAGGTCGCCAAAGAGGGTCTCTGATGCCCGAGGCTCCAGTCCAAGCCAAAAGCTACGTCCACTGGTGTTTAGCCATTGGCACCAGCATCTTAGTAGCACAGCTAGGTCATAATCAGCACCTCTTGTGCCTTCTCTTGCTTATTAAAAGGACCCTCGGGGAAGAGGAAGCCCCACAGGACAACCGAAAGGCAGAGGGGAAGAGAAACAGAAAGCTACAGATTGGCACCGGTATCTGTACTGTTGTCACTAAAGTTACACGCACAGCATCGTGAAATGAAACTAAAGTGCCCTGCAGTTGGGAGTTGAGAGTGACAGTCAAGATCAAGAAAAGCTACTGATGTTTGTATGCAAGAGCAGAGGAACTGAGAAGATTAATTAACTGAACTCTGTGACCCGGAATTTCCAGGAGAACCATTTGTGACTGGAATTTAACCAATTCAGGAATTCCAACCTCAGGAGTGCTTTAATACAGCAGTCCCCAAACCTTCGGGCACCAGGGACCGGTTCTGTGGAAAAGTTGCATCTTAGGGCAGGAGAAACCAGAGAGATCAATGGGCTGCCACGAGTGGCTGAGCTTTCTGCCCCCGAGATGGATGGCAGGCTTTCAGTGATTCCCCCAAGAAGAAGCGTGGTTCAAACACTCACCGCTTCCCCTCCAAAAATCTCACTTCTTTTGCTGATGCAAATTAGGTGGACAAAACCAGGGAGGGAAGGGGGACCTGGCTGAAATTTAATTCCATGGGCCCACCTGAAGAGGTTGGAGCAGCAGCCCTTGGTCCCCTTCACTAAGCAGCACAGACTTACCTTTGTTGTGAGACATGGCGTATAGAAGACACAACACAAAAATAGCGTAGTAGTCAAAGTCGGCACACTCCAGGGCATTATACACCATCTCCAGAAATGGCCTGGGGAGAAAAAAAAAGATTTTTTTTTAAATTAAAAAACCCCCATTTCTGAGGATTCTGCCTTTTATCTGTATGCCTGAGGGTGACCTCTCTCCCTAGGTGGGCCTGAGTTATAATGAGCAAAAGAGTCCCTGGAGAAACCCGTCAGGGGAGGGGCCCTTGGCCTTGCTGGGTTACAAGTTGTGGGTCCCATCGCAGAAGAGAGGGGGGAGAAGACCTCTCGCCCACCTGTTCCAGCTGCACATTTCGGAGGCTGCTGCGCTCTTCTCCTCGTCGGTTATGTTCTGCTCTGTGGCAGAAAGGAGTTTGCAGCGCTCCATGATCACCATCTCAATTTCTGGGGGTAGAGACACACACACGTTTTAGAGAGAGACGGGTTTATTCCACGAGACAGAGGTGGGTAGACCTTGCCCCGGGGGGAGTGGGGGGGAGGGATTCTGGCCAAAGGGAAGAGGTCATGGGGATCTGGTCAAAGGGACCCTGCAGAGAGATGACTGGTGCCCCGATTGTGAAGAAACCCTGCTGACTTGTAAACCCAGGGATTCTACTTAGAGGATCAAGACCAGCAGGTTAGGAAGGGCTGAAGCCAGCCTCCTCTCAGGGCACTCTGCAGTGGGAAGGGAAGCCCAGTTTGACCCAGGAGAACCTCCACAAGGCAGCAGCTGCAGGTCCCGGGAGAAGGGCAGTGGGCGGGCAAGGCAGGCAAAGACCACCTGAAGACTCAGAGGAGTAGGAAAAGAAGAGGGGAGCTGCACACAGCAGTCCAGCCAACCTGACATCAACCCCGCAGGCACGGGAGTGCAAGAATGGGCAGCCGGCATGTGGGGCCCTGCTCACCTTCACTCTCCCCACTGGGCTTGAGGCCCTTGGAGGGGCTCTCGGTGCCTTCTGGGATGTCTTCCGGGCCCCTCTCCTCCTCCTCCTCCTCCCCAACGTTTTTATAGTTGGGCCTCTTCTGCAGCCTCTTTTTTCCCTTCTGTTTATTAATTTCTAGTGAGCGCTCCAGGGTCTCCGAAGGTTTAATGAAGCACCTGATGCCCGCCTTGACCTAAAACATCCACACAGACAGAAGGAAGTCAGCTCCATGACCTTCCTAACCCAATGAACAGGCCAAGCTTCAAATGGAGAAAAGCCAGGAGTTCATCTAGGTATTTTAGAACTGCAAAAGAAACGCCAAGCAGCCTTTCTGCTCCCAAAACATGGCCTCTCGGTGGCCAATTCCTCGCCCCTAGCATATGGCAAGAATGGGACAGGACAAGGGATGCCAGCAAGTCTGTGCTCTTACCCCACAGCCTTTAAGGGACCACCCCCATCTTTCAGGGAGGCAGAGGGACGTCCTCTCTTTGGAACCTTTTATGGTTACACTGGAGGGCAGTAAATTCACGAGAGCCTTGAAGAAAAATCTTGCAAGGACCATTACAGACTGCTTGTCTCACCGACTCCTAGAAACCTAGTTTTATTCCATGCCAAGAATCTTGTTCCACAGGAGCCAAGGGGATTATTCAAGCCCAACCTCACGATAGGATTTCTTCTGTTTCATGGAAATTCAATCAATCCCCAACCAAGTCTAAGTACAAATGGCACTTTCTTGCTTATAAATGTGAGCGCTTGGACTGGTTTAATTCTTGCCCCACAGATCTTCGACAGACACCAAAAGCAGATTTAAGGGTACAATCCAGGAAACCTCTGCTCTTTCGTTCAATTGAAAGTCTACATTTATAGTCCAAAGAAGAAAGAAGGCAGATTGAGACCACAGCTGGAAAAGCTCTCAGCCTAGAAGAAAGTTTCCGTCTTATGGTTTTTAAAGATCCAACTCTTGTTCAGTTCTGGTGTGCAGTTACTTATTCATGGGACTCTTCACCTCTTTCCTAACTCTACTGAGCTTGGCAGAGTCTTTCAGCTGAGATTAAGAAGCAAACCATGCCGAGACGAACGTTTATCACGGCTTGTCTGCTTGGGCCAGGCTCTTTACCCACCTACTGTGTACATTTAAAAGTAGGCTGGAGCATCTGCTTGACAAGCCCAACCTTCCCAGGCCCCCCTCAGGGTTACAGGAAGGAGCGAAAGTAGGTTAAGCCCAGCCACATCCGACTGGGGCAGGAAGCAGAGCAAAACCAGTTCAAAGGAGGCCAGGCGAAGGCCGAGTTTGACTTTGGGTCGCCTTGGGTGGGTGTCAGGCAAAGGCGCATGACTCACCGGCCCCAGACAGCGAGGAGGAGGAGGAGACCACCACCCTCCTCTGGCACTTCCCACTGCTGGAAACACAAACGGCTTCTCGGATCTGAGAACTGCCTCATAGCAAGAGAAGCACTTTTCTCCAGACCACTCAGATTTCGACAAAAGAGTGCGTCAGGGATGGGGGCTGATCACCCAGCTCACCGAGATAGGGGAAGGTAGGGTGGGGGACAAACTGCAGACTGCTTTCCCAATTTTTCTCAGCTGCTCAGAGAAATAAAGCTTTTCTCGATCACTTGGTACCTCCATTTCATCTAAAGAAAGATGGCACAGCCTGAGCCCAAGACCTGCCTACCAACAGCAGCGTAGTCTGGGGTGCCATCTGTAAAGGGCAACCTAAATCAAAGCCACTGCGGCCGTCAGAGCTGCTTCAAGGAAGTGGGCAGGGATTCTCCCAAGCGGCAACAGTCATTTGAATTCCCCACGTTCCTTCTCTCCGCTGCACCACTTGCTTTAGTATCATCAAGGCTGCTGTTTCCTTCGGTCTTTTGTTCGTTCCCTCCCTCCCCCGGCAAGGGAGGGAGGGGCCTCTTTAAACCCATGCGATATCAGGTCTGCCCAAACTTAGCTGGATCATATTTCTGTCACCTACAGATTTCCAATAACTGTCCTATTCCAGATCTGTTTCCAAAGCTTTAGGAAATCACCCCCATCTTACTTAATAAATGCTATGAGCAAGTAACGGTGATTGCTGGATATAGTAAAGGATAAAGCAAAAATGCCATGATTAGCTCTTGAACATGTCCGCCTTTTGAGGGATGAAATTTACCTAGAAAAACCACTAAAATAACATCCACTCTTGTTACAACCCACTGCGAATAATTCACCCTCTCACATACTTAAAAAAAAACAAAAAAAACAAGACCAAGTAATTCTGCAAAAGACATTCAGTGGAAGTCAAACTGCTAGAGCAGAAAAAAGGCGACAAGCTTCTAACCACAGATTTCCCAGTAACAGAACCCACTGAACAGAAAAGCGGGCAAAAGCCCAGAATGAGTCTGCCTGCTACAAAGACAAGATCATTTCCATGTGCCACGGCGCTTTTTATCTTTCAGCTTGCATGCGAGATCGGGCCTGATTTTTTAACAAAAACACCAAGATAAAGGGTACCCAAGAACCCTTTACATGCCAGGCAGATCACGTCACAGCCCCGGTCTTGCCAAACAAACCAAGAAGGCACCTGGGAGCCGACAGACGTTAGTTCTACTTACAGAGCTTTTCTGGATGTCTGGCTCCACTTTTGAGGAAAACACCGCGAGGTCTCCGTTCAGAATGACTTCGGCCAATGAATTCACCAGCGGGGCATAATGGATGATTAGGAAAACCTGGGACAGAGGCAGAGAAGCAAAAACTGTTGGGGAGGGAGACTCAGAGAGGGGATGCAGATTAACTTCCCATTTATCTTGCTACTTTCCTCTCTGCTACAGTATAAGAGAAATTACTTTAGGTTGATTTCACCAGATGGTATTTCTTTCAGTGCTTGGGAGAGAAGAGGAGGACAAGGAGAAATATCTCATATTTAAATGCTTCCTGACATCATGCTGAAGGGCAGCCAGTCTTCCATAACAGGGAATGTGGTTTGTAAAGGCAGCTGTAACTAATCCAGGAGTTCTCACCCTCCCAATCATTAAATACCACATCCCGCCTATTTGCCTTGACTCTTTATCGAGCCAGCTTCTAACCCTGGTCCTTTACAGTTTTTTTTCCCCCTTACCCCACCCCAAATCACAATTGCAAAATGACCGACAACCCCCCCCTCCCGCACAGCCAGTTTCAACACAGTTGCTACATCATTGTTAAAAAGTAGACGTGACCTTCTATTAAATTCTTAATAGAGTCTAGAGCAGAGTTTCTCAAACCTCAGCAACTTTTAAGATGGGTGGACTTCAGCTCCCAGAATCCCATGCTGGCTGGGGAATTCTGGGAGCTGAAGTCAACCCATTTTAAAAGTTGCTGAGGTTGAGAAATGCTGCTCTAGAATCAGTACTGGATCATTCGCACTTACTTGTGACAACAGATACAGAGAAACCTGGACGCTTATTCTTGGCCGTTCTCCAGTCTAAGGAGGAAAAAATTAAGAAACGGCTTTTAACTGCGGAACAGTTAATGCATGTATTAACCGACAGCATTCCCTTTCATTTTTGAATTGCACACAAAAACCGCTCTCCAAAACAGGCACAACCGATGAGGAAAACTGTCTGCCACGATCTCCCCATTGCTTCCCTCTTTCTAAAACAGAAGCCATCACTCAATTGCGTAACCGTTTGAGGAAAACGTGGGAATCTGGACCAAGTCCTCCTCTTGTCTACAGACCGAGGAACATCCCCACGGAGAACACGCAGGGAACTCCAGGGAGCATCACCAAGGGATTACAACTCAGTGCATGTGGATGCGACTGTTTGATACATATTAAGTCACTCAGAGGAACTCTACATAAAAACCTGTAAAAGGTTCCAGGAGTACACGGGGAAAGCTTTTTTAAAGACCAAACACCTCTGTATAGCGCTATACTACAGACTGACTTCTCATTTGGTTTGCCAGAGACCACAGAGGGAGCTGCCTTCCTGAACAGGGGGCTCTGCTTTTCCTTGGAGAAACAGCCAGGTGAAAATACAAGGGAGACAGGCACATGCTGCTGATGAATGCAGGAGGCCTCCTTTCTTGCTTGTGGCAGCAAACAGATCCCCACCCCCACCCCGCCCCTTAGGACGGGGTCTGCAAGGAGGGAGAGCTTCCGACAATCAAGTGAGGAGGAAAAGACAAAAAGCTGAAGCTTTAATCAGAACCCATGAAGTAACTTCTGCGGCTGGCCAAAAGGCGATTAGCCAAGGCAAGCCACAGAATGATTCATACGCATTATTACATCAAGAGAGGTTTAGAAATCTTTGTTATGAAAGGAGGTAGCTGTCCTTTGTCACTCTTTCAACTGAACTGACGGTCCAATGATGACGCTCATTGTGCTGTCATGACCTCCCTTTCTCCCTCCTTTTGCCCTGACAGGGAAAGACTGGTGAGAGGAAGCCTCTGTGAATCGGTTCTCTCTCCCTCCCTCCCCTCTCCCTCCCCCCGTGCTGAACTGCGCAAGGTTAACGATATAAGTGATAATTATTTTAATAGAGTAATGCAGGTTTGCTTCTGTGACTCAATGGAGACTCCTGAGGTTGCATTATTTCAGAAAGATGTCACAAGGCAGCCAGGTTCTCGTAAAGCCACCTCAAGCAAGGAAAGGAACCCCTCACCTTCTCCTGATTGACCAAGGAGTACACGTAGAGAGGCAGGAAGAGGCTGTTCAGCAAGTGGTCGGTCAAGACATCATTTAAGAATTCACAGTTGATAATTAGGATGTCGTTCAGGTAATGGAGGTGATCCAGGTGCTCGGCTACAAGGTCGCTCAGTTTGCCCCGATTTCTGTGCCTGCAAAAAAAGGGAGCAGACTAAATATGCAGTCACTACCACGACCCCCCACCCCAAAGAAAGGGCACCGGGTGAACAAGAAAGGCTCACTCCTCATCTGTTTGAACGCAGTTGTCCAGCTCTATGACATGGCTACCGATGAACCAGACAAGGTTGGAGAAGTAAGGGACGGCCGTCTTGTCTCGAATATAGTGCAGCATCGGCTGGTTGTCCACTGAAGGCAAACAGGCTGTTATCATTGTTGATGTATTTCTCCCCAAACGCTCTAAGAATGGATTCCTTCCCCTAACTCACTTTTGGCAGCATGGGCCAAAATCAATTCTATTTCTACGGCAGTTTTTGGGAAATGTCAACATTCCCTTTGAGACATTATTCTAATAATAAAAAGGCTGAAAGCGGCTGGACTCTGCCGTCACTGAGAATGGCCCCGCTTGCAATCTAGGGAACTGGGCAACAGCACCAGGCGGGAAAATCCACCAGCAGACTTACATGACACTGTTTTAAGGGAGACGGGATGCGCCAGTGAAGAGAGGACGAGGAGAGACAAGAAAGACAACGTGGTTAACAGGGTTAGGAGCTCCAAAGAGGTCAGTGGTTAAAGCAGCAGAGCATCTAGGCTAGAAGAGAGCAGTTAGAAACAAGCAGGCAGCCCTTGGAAAGCCCTGTCCCAAGGCCAGCCACCAGGGGGTGCCCTCCCCTCAACTGCACATCCCAGGGCAGGGCCTATTCATTATTATTTTAATTTTATTTATTTATATCCAGCCTTTATTATTTTTTATAAATAACTAAGACTCTGACAGTCTTTTGTCATTCACAGACTGTCTAGAAGCCCCGTAGCTGAGAACAGAAGAAATTCTGTCTATATCTGACTACCATTTCTAGAGCATGTGACCAAAAACTCTCTTTGAAGTGGGTTTATGGGTTTTTTTTACATGAGGGATGGGCAAATCCGATGGCCCTCCCTCTCCTCTGTTGCTTGATTCCATAGATTCTGGGCGCCAGCTTTAAATGGACACGAAAACCAGCCCAGAATCTATCCCTACCTTAAAAACATCTTCTACCTCTAATGTCTGGATTCCTAGGGCAAAATGAAGAGACGCGTGGCCTCTATTTCTTTACAATGGAAAACACCTGGCTGAGTTCTAGGTTGCAGCTGACATTTTCTTCACTGATGAAGAAGTGTGCATGCATGAGAGAGGGAGAGAGACAGAAGCGGGTCAAAAGTTCTAATAAATATTTCAGGAAGCTGCTCTGGGTCCTGACCAAGCAACTCAGAGAGTCTCACTTTCGCATTCTCAAGAAAAATCCTTCCCGAAGTGCAAAACCTCATGCCAAGAGCGCCCTCCAGCGGCCATCCCCTGAGAATTCTCCAGCTTCTATTGCTTCCTCCTGGCTGAGATGACAGCACTGGCTTAAAACACTGGTTCTGAGAAGAGGGTCATGAGATCCACCTAGGACAAATCGGGGTCTGCCCTGCCTAACTTTCACCCGATAAACCTGGGAACGCCGGACATCCCGGCTCCTTCCTCCCAAGGCGCATGTGGTGCTGAAACTACCCAAGAAGACGCTTACCTTTGTAGACGTTTAACGTGATGGTTCTCACTGCGATCCTGACCATGCTCTCTGGGTGGTTGAAGAATTTGATGGCCTCGGTGTACAAGGCAAAATCGTTGGTATGCTGAAGAAGAAGGCAGCAAATATGCGTTATGCGCTTTGTGCATTTTAATTCTGCCCTTTCAGACTCTGGACTGTTAAAAGCGTAATCTGGGGCCCTCAGTCGGTACAGGAAGCTTCAAGCTTCCCTCGGCACCTGCTTTGCTATACAAGCGTTGGGGCAGAATTTTAAAGCTGCGTCCCTGCAGGCGCTCTCAGCTACAACTCCAACAGAAACATCTATTTTCTTTTTTAAATATTTACAGATTTTGAAATAAACAATTAGGATGCACAGTGTATATTGGCAACAATATATACATCGTTCCAGAAAATGTTTATCCAACTCTCAACAAAAAGAATTTACTGAAAACAGTGTTTTGTTTCCAACCTGCAACTCACCTCGTTGTAAAAAAAGTGAACCGTGTGATTATTGAGTTTCAGAGAAAGTGTTTTTAAGAATGAAATATAGTATGCCATGATTTCTTCATCTGAGAAGTCAAATTTGTGCACAATGATAGAGTTCACGTAGTTGTTGGACAGTAAATAGTCTGAAGGAAAAAAATACAGATGCATAAAATACAGGTAGTCCTCTACCTATGACCACAATTGAGCCCAACACTTCTGTTGCCAAGTGCATTTGTTAAGTGAATTTTGCCCCATTTAACAAGTGTTCCTGCCACAGTTGTTAAGTGAACTGCTGCACTGGTTAAGTTGGGAACACGGTTGGTAAGTGAATCCAGCTTCCCCATGGACTTTGCTTGTCAGAAGGTCGCAAAAGGGGATCGCGTGACCCCCCCCGGATGCAGTGACCGTCATAAGTATGAATCAGTTGCCAAGCATCCAAATTTTGATCACATGACCATGGGGATGCTGCAATAGTTGTAACTATGAAAAATGGTCCTAAGTCCCTTTTGTCAGTGCCGTTGTAACTTTGAACAGTCACTAAATGAACTGTTGTGAGTTCAGGACTACCGTCCTATACAGATTAGTATAAAAATTAACCCAGCAAACTAAAGGATATGCACAATACATTCTAGCAGACCATTTTTTTAAACGATCATTGTCATCTCTGAACTGTCCAATCACAAACCACAAGAAGCACCTAGAGACTCATCGGTCCCACCTTCTTATTCTGTTCGCTGCCTTCTCCTGCCTTGTCTGCACACGTTGACATGCATCAAAGGAGAACTTTCTGTTTAGAGTTCATGGTTTCAGGTGTCAAAGCATTTTAGAAGCGTGTTTAAAAAAACCTTATGATTTATATCATAGGTCTTTTGCAAAATTTATGTCTCCATGTGAAAAGAGAAACCACTTGGCCTAGCACAGACAACTTAATAAAATTAAGTGGTTGAACAGTACTGTATGTTGAAGAATATTAACCAGGTCATGTCCCAATTAATTTAATACATTTAATATCTAATACATTTAAAACGTCTCAAATTCTACAATCTTCAGGACAGAAAACAAGAACCTCTGTTACACGTGTAGCTTATATAGCAAATGGTTTTCAACAAAAATGTTGCTTTGCATAAAGAGAAAAGAAATGTGCATACTTACAAAGGGATGTTTCATGACTGATGTTCTCAAAGAGGATATTTAAAGTCTGCAGAAGCTGCACACAGACATAACGGCCCGACTTCTGGCGCAGAATGTTCAGAAAGAACACAAACATGTTTTTCTCCAAGAAAAAGCTGGAATGCAAGCATTTTTACCAATTTACTATATCTTATTGGAGAAATTTCATTCAAATGTTTATTGCTGGAATGTAATACTGGTGAAGATAGTGATATTTTAACTAGCACGATTAGAACTATATTGATATATTTGTTAGCTTCTCAGACCACTGCAGTCAAATAATTCTCAGCAGTTACAGAAAATAAAACATCCATGGAATAATAAGGTGATAGATACACATAATGCAAAGAGTCTGCATTTGTTAAAGCAAAATCCTACAAGCTCTTACTCAAACACTGAACTGTCATTTTGATCTCCCCATATCAGGATCTCGGTTATCGATCGAATGGTTTCCACCAATAGGTTGCGGTTGTGGTCAGTCACAGTGGTATTTTTGGTCAAAACATGATACATATACCTGAAAGGCAAGAAGAGAAAGTAAACATTGGGCCCTCAAAATGGTCTCGAGAGGATTATGTATGTTGAAGGTTAAACCTGGGAAAATCTGTGGCTCTTTGGAATCACTGCAGAAACAATCCAAATATTCTCATCACTTCTTGTCTCTTCGTTAGATTTGTTAAATGTTCTTCATTAGCATAAGCCACCCTGAAATCAAATTACTTGGCACCAAAAGCATCCCCTATATTTCTTTCTCTGTTCCAGGCATTTTCCCTGCAGAAACAGCAATCAAGAGTTCCATCAGCATGCTCGTCCAGCTAAAGAGAGGCCAGAGGAAACCCCAAGAAAGCCAGCAAGTACCGAAGGGTGCAAATTTTTTTTTTTTAATTTGATTTATATGCCGCCCTTCTCCGGAGACTCGGGGCAGCTTACAATGCGCTAAGCAATAGCCTTCATTCTTTTGTATATTTATACAAAGTCAGCTTATTGCCCCCACAACTGGGTCCTCAGTTTACCTACCTTAGAAAGGATGGAAGGCTGAGTCAACCTTGAGCCTTGGCGAGATTTGAACCTGCAGTAATTGCAGGCAGTTGTTCTTAATAACAGGTACTACCAAGGCTCTTAAATATAAATAAATAAAACTTAGGCATAATTAGCTTGAACTATATATTTGTTTTACACAAACTGTTCATGTATGGTTTTACAGAATTATGAAATCTATGAAAACAAACAAACCAGAGCCTGTGTTTCAGTATCGTTTAAACCTGGAATACTGTGTATTGTGCACCTCAATTAATTCCTACAGGCATGGGATGCTGATGAAAAATAATCTCCAAGATGGTCAAGGGAGTTAATAAAATATCCTAGCAGAATTTCTGACCTTTTATGGGGGTAAAGAATAAGAGAGATGCCTGACAGATTATGCTGGTTGAGAAAGCAGTACCAGAAAACTTTCTTCATTTTCTGAAAAAATAATCCGATAAAGCCGAAAGGGAGTCATTCTTACTCACAAAACAAAATTATCAGATTGACTACCACAAATCATTTTGGCAGCCTTTGTAGTAAAAAGCAAAATAAGAATAATCTGAATAAAACAAATGAATATAAATACAGGGCTGACCACCAATCTTGACACCTTTCGAAGAAAAGTACATAAATGCTCAGCAGTTAAAACTGCTGGTCATGATGGCTCCCTTATCTTGGAAAGACACACCACCTCTCCCTCCCAAATGCAAGGAGCTGTCAGCCCATGCTGCTCTGCTTAGAGGCCTCCTTCCCTTTACCAATAGCAATAGCCTATATGCCACTTCATACTGCTTTACGAGATGCTACAGTGTCAGCATCTTGCCCTCAACCATCTGGATCCTCCTTTTACCAAGGATGGCAGGCTGAGTCAGCCTTAAGCTTTAAACAGGATTATCTTTCAGCCTTCAGCTCAGGAGGCAGAGAAGCGACTGCTGCAAATAATCCTTGCCTTGGAGCGCCTTTGACCTGATCCAGCCTACATCTTGCGACCTTATGTTCCCCTGAGACCAGACTACAATTCCAATTGTTCTCTCTCCACACACTTCCTGGAATATTAAAAGGTGGTGGGGGGGGGGAAGAAAGATATTTATGGCCATTTGGGCAAATTGTCTAGTTTATCTCCTCCACTTTTGTATAGGACTAATGCTAGAGCGATAAGCTGAGAAAAGCGCAGAATTTGCTTTGGGCACACGAGGGGTCTTTCTTATTAGGCTTCGGCTGTTCCCCACCCAGCCTCCCAACCCCGGCAAAGAGGCAGCAGCCACCCCCGGGGGAGGGAGGCGCCTCCGCTTCTTCCAGCCTTTCCGGCTTCAACCAGACTCACAGGGCAGCCCCCGCCCTTCATTCCCTCCTCTTGGCCTTCAGAGGGAGGGAGGAAGGGGGGGCGGGGGGGGGGGCAGGCCGAGCAGGCCCTCCCTGCGTCCTTTTCCTTCCCAGAGTCCCCCCCCCGCAGGGACCCCTGGGGGCTGTTGTAGTCCAGCCGTCCTGCGGAGGCCCCTTCAGAAGCAGCCCCTCAAGAAGCCCCGCAACCACCCCAGAGCGGGGGGGGGGGGCGGGGGCGGCTGCGGACGATGGGAACCCCCGGGGGGGCAGCGGCGCTCACTTGAGGTGCTCGAGCGAGTGGATGTTGCGCGAGGCCTTCCCGCCGCCCCCGCCGCCGCCCCAGCTGCGCGACCGCCCGAACATCGTGCGCGGGCCCCGCAGGCGCGCCTCCGCTCCTACGGCCGCCGCCGCCGCCTCCGCCGCTGCTGCTGCCGCTGCCCCTCCTCGGTCGCCTCGTCCTCGGCGGCCGCCGCCGCCATCCTCCCCTCAGCCTCTCAGAGTGGCCGGACGCCGCCGCCGCCGTCCTCTCGCTCACCGCGCAGGCGCGGGGCACGCCGGGAAACGAAGTCTTACCCGCCCGCGCCCGCCCCGACGGCCGACGCCGGGCGGACCGGCCGCAAACTCTCCTTCCCGGCGGCCCCTGCGCGCGGGCGTCCCGGAAGACGGGCGAGCGGGCGAGCGTTTGTGACCCAAGAGGGGCGGGGCGCGCATGCTAATGAGGCGTCGGCGTCACGCTTAACCCCCTCGCCGCCGCCTCTGCGCTGGGCCTCCGGGTCCGCCGGCCCAGCCGAACCCCGCGGAAGCCTCCGCCTCCTCCGCCTCCTCCTCCTGGCGGGCTCCGGGGCCGCGCGTGGCCGGGGCGGGCGGGCGGCGGCGCTGCGGGTAGGAGGGCGGCGGCCGTCGTGCGAGGGAGGGAGGGAGGGAGAGTCCGGGCGGCGCTTGTGCTGCCGGGCTCCCCCTCGATGTTCTCCGCCGGCCTCTTCCTGGTCAACCTGCTGGTCCTCTACTACGCCTTCCTGCTGGAGTACATCGCCCTCAACGTGGGCCTCGTCTTCCTGCCCGACGACATGGACCAGGCGCTGCTGGACCTCGGGCTCCTCTCCGACCCGGCGCTCGGCCTCTACCGGCTGGACAGCGAGGGCGAGCCGCTCGACGCCTACTGGGACTAGGGCCGCCCGCCCGCCCGCCCGCGGAGGTAGGGGCGGCGAAGGAGGGGAGCCCCGAGGGGGGCGGCTCAGCCCTTGTGCGCGCTCCGGCAAGGCTCGCTGCCCTCCAGTGGGCCGCGACTGCAGCAATCCCTTCAGGGGCACAAGGCATCTCTGCAGCCCCCCCGCCCCCGCCCCGGGCTTCTGCAGGGGACACGGGCCGCCCTTTCAGCTTTGGCTTCATTCGCATGTCCACAGGCTGCCTTGCTACAGGAGGGAAGGAAAAGAAAAGATCCCGGAAAGGACGCATGGATTCCGGCCTGAGGCCCTCCAGGGTCCCCCAGGGAAGCTGGACTCAGGATGGGACCTGCAACTCTTGACGGGTTTGCCAGCATCCTGCAGGGATCCGTTAGCAGCGTTTACGCAGGGAGCCTGGAGTGGGGAAAACCCCAGGAGACTCTGGTCTCTTACACTGAACCAAGGGATTGACTTGCTTCCCTTGTCTTGAAGAGGCAAAGGTATGTCTGGAGCTAGCCTGGATTCTCGGACAAGGCAAGCAGTGGCTGCGATGGGGTCACCAGCTTTGAAGGGGGCTGGGGGAATAAACACCGAGAGCCTGAGGTTGCTTGCAACAGCGCATGTTCCTGAACACAGAACTGCTCGGCAGTTGAAAGTTGACCTTGCACCACGGTGCAGAAGATGCCCGAATCACGTTTTCCCCGTAGGACAGTAGAATGCAGCCCTCCATTATCAGTACTATCCATATCTGTGAGAGCTTTTAAAAAAAAAGACCTTCACTCCTCTTTGATGAAATGTTTTCCAGCACGTAGAAAGGTTATTTGACGTTAATGAAGCTTGCTCCCTGGCTAGGTTTCCAGCTGCAGGGAGAGACAGGTGTGGAAATATGGCGAAGCTGTCAATTTGCACGGGAGTCCTTAAGTGTTATTAGCCATGAAGGCTCCGGTTTCTGCTCTTTCGAAGCGTGGAAATGTTGGAAGCCTCCAACTGGCAATCTTAATTTGCTGTGAATGATCAGGTCGCCCTTCTTAAATTTTATTTTTTGAGATCCCCCGAACCTTTGCAATACCCACAAAAGGTCTGCTTTTTAAAGAGTAATAATTTAAAAGGGGGGGGGGAGAAGAACTGCAGGGATGTTTCTGTCGCACTGTTACAGAGAAGAATTGATTTTGTAAGTATTTTTATAACTTGAGGGAAGGAAAGAAGAGCCTTGTCATTGTTAGGGCAAGTTATTTTGGAAAACGTTCAAATGCATTGTTACGTAAAGCAGAAAATGTAAAAAAAGCAATATCTTGATAACTGGACCTCTTGCAAATATAGATGTGTGCAGGTGACTACAACTCGCTTTGTGTATTATTGCTGGGACCAGGGTGGCCGCTGGGGGGTTTTCACAGCAAAGGCTGCGGCTGGACGGCTGCCTTGGGGCCTTTGCATGCTTAAAAATGTGTGTGTGTAGGTTCCAGTGGCCTAGCACACATCCTCCTCTTTGCTGTCTTACAAAGTTCCTGCTAGGACCACCCACCCATAACTTTCCCCCCTCTGCTTTATCGAATCTCCTCTGCGGAATCCTTGGCAAAGCTGCCATCCTTCCTCAGTTTTCGCCAGTCTGTTCCTAAAGGGAAGGATGCATTGCAGGAAATCAATTCAATACTGCTAGTTTTGCCTCTCCCCCTGGATTTTTAATCCAAGACTCCACCAATATTTCCTCTTTCAGAAAAAAGGAAACACCCATAAGGGAGACGCTTGTAGAAAAATATTTATTGACAGTTTCTCAGGGATATGAAAACTGTACATTAGAGTTAAGAGGCTCTGTGCTCCGATCACTAGAAATAAGCTTCTAGGCCCTGGTACACACCAACACATACACACCCTCAACAGTTGCTAAAGCTTAAAATGACCCTTGTGGGTCCAGGATTCCAGTTCTGCCTTGCCTACTTGTGTGTTCATTACATTATTCCTCCAAACCTTTTAGGAAGCTGCAAGGGATGATCGTGAATCCATGCAGAAATATTCCAGAAAGGTATCAGCTCTCAAAGGGAGCTGAGTTTATTCAGAAAGCACCAGCATTTTCTTTTGTTTTTAGAAAAGTCAGTTGCTTATTCTCCATAGATATCTGCTAAGTCAAATAACTGGATGCATCCACTTATGTGCAGAGGGACACAAACGTTTTCCTTGCCTTCGCCCTTCACTTCACAAAATTTGGGACCTAAAGCCCCTCAACTGCCCTGGAGAGGATTCTTTCAGAAAGGGGATCCAGTGATCGTGTTGATGGAGAAAAAGAAGCCGCCTTTATGGATCACCCAGCTTTAATTTTAGCAGCAGAATTTCCTCCTGCGTGAGAGAAAATGGGGGTGGGGGGAGGTCACTGTTAAAGTTATGCAACTGCCATGGGGGTGGGGGGCGGGGTTCCTAGCCTTGGGTTCGAGGTGAGCCATGGGGCAGGGGAGTGAAGCTTCAGCCTGGCTGATAGGGGGAGGCACCGGTAATAAATGTTTATTAATTAGCTCTATTGATGACATTAATTGAAAGATTTTTGTCATAGGACAAATGAAAGGGTTTGGATATCTGGGGGCTCAAAGAACCCATGTTGATAAATAGCTTTTTATGATTTATGAGCCGGCGGGAGCATCCCCGCCCATTGTGAGAGTGGGAAGCCTGTAATTCAGCATCTACTCCACAGGGAGGAGCATTTAGTAGGCTGAATGTAGAACCAGGGAAGCTCCTACAGGTTGCTGGAAGCACTCACCACTGCAGAATCCGAAGCGACCCGTCAGGGGCTGCCCCTAAAATCTCCTGATCCGAGAATCCAGCTGCTGCAGGTGATCCAGAACCCCGTGAGGGATCATTGGGTTCCACAACCTGGAAAGGGTTTTAAAAAGCAGAAAATGAAAGGCAACTGGAATGAGTGGGTCTCCCTCTAAAACATGCCACCAGCAGCTGCCGCTGAGGGCAGGGCAACTTTCCCGGTCCTCCGTGTCTGATGCGGGGGGCTCCCACTCTGCAGCCGGCCAGGAATTTGGGGACATCACAGACACCCCAGATTGCCCTGCCCATAACCTCTTCCAAAACGGCACCTGTTGAATCCAGTGCAGCTCGAAGGGGCACTTGGGACCTCCAGGGATCAAAGCTTCGATCACCAAGAAGCCCAAACTTACGCCAAGCTCTGAATGCAGGGGCATCTCCTCAAGCGCTCCGTCAGACACCGGGCTCCGGCAGCAGACATCCGGTTGCAGTGCAGGCTGTGGGGGGCGGGGGAGGGGGGAGAAGGACGCACAGGCAGAATTACAGGCACCTCCTTTGCCAGAAACCTCCCTCGAGGCAGACAGCCAAGGGCTGAGCAGCGGTGGAGTCTTTCTGCACCCTTCTGTCTGTACGAGGCCTCCTGGTATTTGGGGGTTTGGGGGGAGGGGCTCCCCAAGAGCCTGGTGGGGCACGTGGCTGAGCCCCTCAAGTGTTGGGGGGCAGAGTTCCTCCTCTTTTCCACCCCATTCAACGTCCAAGCAGCCGGGGTGACTGTGTAGTAGCTAAAAGGTGCCTGCATCAAGACGGGGGTGGGGGGGGTACCAAGTCCTGTGCAAAAGTCTGCTTTGACTCCCGGGAATAAAACCTCCCCCCCCCTCCCAGCTCTCAGCCACAGACCATGGCACACTTACTCCAGCACCCGCAACGCACACATCTGGGGCAGCACCTCTGCCACGTGCTCTGCACCCGCATCCCCAATGTTGTTTTCGTACAAACTGCGGGAGCCAAAGCAAGAGAGAGGCTGAGCCAGGCTCCTCTGCCAAGGGCCACGTCCCGTCCCCCCCGCCCCCTTAACTCTGTTGAGGGCCATGCAGGGGGCGGGGCTGAGGCAAGGAAGGAGGCCCAGCCCCAGAGGGGAGATGACGCTTTCCTAACCTCCCTTTGGCAGGTGGGGAGCAAGAGCCAGCTTTCTGATCTGCTCCTGGGGGCTCCAGCGGTGGGTCCAGGCTGCTGGGGGTCACAGGTCACAGCCCCGTCTAGTATTGGCTGACCGGAGTGGGGGGGGGCATGACTCACCTGAGGGTCTTCAGCAAACGCAGGGAGGGGAGGGCTCCGGCCAACAGCTCAGCGCCCAGGTCAGTGATCTTGTTCCGGGACAAGCTAGGAACAAAAGATGGTTAAATTCAGGATGTTTTAGGTGGGGGGGGGATCCTTTCCCTTCCTCCTGTTATGTGAGGCTGGTGGGAGAGGGTCCACCACTCAGGGGCAGCCTCTTCCTGAATGAATATTACTCTTTTATTGTTTTCTGGGGTTTTTTTATTCTGTTTATAATCTGTCCCAAGAATTTTGGCTGTTAGGTGCTTTGTAACTATTACATGTTCCAGCCTGTTTCATTTGTTTACCTGCACACACACACACACACACACACACACACACACACACACACACACTTTCCACAATGATTCTCTGGGAGATGCAATGGGGGGGGGGCTCCTTGTGACATTTCTGGCTTCCTGCAACCAGGAACTGCAGAACAATAAACTTACTTCAACGTTTCCAGAGACGCCAAGCGAGGGAGGACGCGGGTGAGGGACTCCACCCCTTCATCTCCGATTTCGTTTTCATCAGGGGAATCCAAGCTGGGGAACAATCAAGCCAGAACGGCTGCAAATTCTGGGTTTGTGGGGGGGGGGGGACTGAGGCCAGGGGACCAAGAGGGCAAAGGAGTTGGAGTCTGCCATGGGACTTTGCTTTTCTTCCCAAGCTCGGAAGGGGCTACGTGGCTAGATGTAAGGCTGTGGGGAGGGGGCTGGCAGGATTAGGAATATCCCAGAAGCCCCGTCCAGCTCCTTTCTGGAGGGTCTTGCTTGTTAGGCCAACGTATCCTGGAGACCCAGAAGGGCAACCTTGATGGGGAGAAAAGGACCACTGGGGCTCCCTCGTCCTGCGGTCCTAAAGATCTCAGACCTTGGTGCCTAAATCTGGCATCTGACAGAGAGCCCCCCCGTCCTCACCCCCCCTTCAAAGACACTCCCAAGATGGAAGTTGACTTGGGAAGGGGCCCTTTGGCTCACTTACTCCAAGTGCTGAAGAGCCGAGAAGGCAACCAAAGAATCCGCCAACTTTCGGAAACCCTCCAAGCCAGAGCTGGGCCCGAGGCTGCAAGGCAAATGGGGGGACGGGGACAGTGGGTGCTGGACTCCTGACCCAAGGCCCCTCCTGCACCCCTGCAAGCATGTCCTTCCCTTGTTCTTGGTTTGGCCAAGAAGTCATCGCCCTCTCTGAGGCACCTGACTGGTAGCCCAGGTGGAAAGTCATGGATGTTCTGAGGTAGACTGCCTCAGCACAAAGAGGTTCTGCTTTCAACAAACAGCTGCCTGCTGCTGCTGCTGCATTCCGCTCTTAAAATACACATAGATGAACTAACCTGAATTCTAGTTTCAGGAACCCAGCGATGGCTGGAATAAGACGGCTGCTGGAGCCCGCAGAGTCTTCCCTGCTGAACCAAAATGGGATTGGGGGCAAAGACGGTCAGGGTGTGATTCTTTCAGAGGACAGGAAGGGCCCAGAGGGTGGGACCTCTCCAGTTGCAGCTTCTACCCTAAACTAGCATCCTCCATCTTCGCAACCCACCTTCAGCTACGCCTGGTGGGGTGGGGGGGGGGGGGCAGGCCATCTCTGGTCAAAGGAACCCAAAGCTTTCTCCTGGTGGCCAAACTGGGGCTGAGGAGCACAGCATCTCCCCTCCCCCTCCCAAAATCCCTCATCCCAAAATCAGGCCTAGAGGCGGACTGGGATTCCCCATTTCAGAGACCCTCCCTCCAGCTGGCCTTTGGGGCTGCCTGCATGGCCCCCATGTGACGAGCTCTCTCCCCGCACGACTCTGGGCCAGCTCAGCTGGGGGCCTTACCCTTCCGCCATGTCTCTCTGCAGCTGCACCAGGCCGAGAAGGGCGTCCACGTCCCCCAACGTCTTCGCCCTGAAGGGCACCACCAGGAACTTCTCCATGGCTGTCTGCAGGGCTTCCCTCTCCTGGACGTCCCACAGGTGCTTCCAGAGCGCCACAGCTTCCCCCAGGGACACCCTGCAAAAAGAGTCCCTGAGGAAACTGGGGGCACCTCAGGCTGCCCCTCTCTCCCACGCTGGGAGGGTCCCAACTCTCCTGCTGAGTTGGGGGAGGCGGCGTCACCAGCTCCTCCCGGGTTCAGGACGGTTCTGGTTCTGCCTTTCCCTTGGGAAGATCTTGGGTTTGGATCTAGCCCTGATGGGCACACGGCAACGCTAAATGGACCAAGGTCTGATCTTGGCTTGAGGCTCCTTCCTAGGTACCGACAACCTCCCTCCCCTTCCCAGGCTGTGGATCGGTTTCCTTCCAGCCTTGACAGACCTTCAAGTGAAGATTCCTCGAGTTGTTCCAAAGATAATTTTTATGTGCCCACTCAGATCACTGGGAGTCAACCAAGACGCCTTCATTTTGAATAAATCCCATCGGAAGTCCCTCGGAAATAACCTCTGATATTTAGAAGCATTCAAGATGCTCTTCCAGCCACTTCATCTGCAGCCTCCTTCCCCAAGACTGGCCCTATCTAGACTCACTCACTAGATCCACTGGCCCTTTGCTCCTAACATCTGGTCCTCAGTTCTAGTGACCGGAAGCCCAACCCTCACCCAGATGCCACGCTCCAAGAACTTCAGCCAACCTGAACTTGGTGATGTTCTTCAGATCGACCAGCTTCCTGAGTCCATCCAAGTGAAGGCAACTCCCCCTCAGGTCTAAAGAGAACTTCTTGGAGGACCTTCTCAACACAGAGTGCAGGACGCTGACATCTGGTGGGGTGAGTGAAAAGCCCAAGAAAGAGAGGTCCGGCCCGAGCTCCAGGGTCAAATGGTTCAAGAGGTATTGATCTTCGGTTTCATGGACGCAGTGGAGCAGCTCCAACAATTTGTCTGGACTGAAATCCCGAAGGGAAAGTTTCCGGATGAATCTGGAGAGACACCTCTGCTTCCTTGCGATCATCTTCTCCGTATCTAACTCACCTTCCTTACCAAAAAGGAGGGAACGGCTGAGCTCGTCCTTTAAGAACAGCAACCCAGACAAGAAACGGGGCACCAGGCCCCCCGAAGAGAAGAATTTCCTGAACCTGGCCCCCAAACCAAGGTATTTGGTGAGTTTTTTGCCCTTGATCTCTTTGGCAAAAGTCAAATGCAGGGCCAGCAAGAAATTCTGGACAACAAAGTTGGAGAACACATATACGTCCCGCTGCTCCACCATGAGCCCAGTTTTCAGAGCAAACTCCTTCACGTCTGCGGAAGGGAACTGCTCGCTCAAGAGGGCCTTTTGGCACCGTTGCCCAAGAGACCAAGAGACCTCAGCCAAGGCAAGGATGCCTTGGTACCTCAAGGCCCTGCAGTTTGCAGTCGAACTTGCCATCTTCTGGAGAAGGTATGTGACGAAGAGGCCGGTGAGAGTGGAGGGCAGCTCTTGACCTCTTGTTTCAAACACAGCCTGGCAAATGAACCGGCAGAGGCCAGGATTGCAACAATGGCTGAACAGGTAAGGTGAGGCCCTGATCAGGTCGGCCCCCTGCTCCCAGTGGGAAGAGCCCTCAAAAGAGCGAGCGAGACAGAGTGAGGCCTGCTCCAGGGAGAGGCCCACGACCTCCAGGACCGTGTCCACCCGAGGAAAATACTGGGGGAGCCTTTCTTTGGGCCGTCCAGTCAGTAAGAAAGTGCAGCCATTGAGCATCTTCCTTTGGAAGAGGGAGGCCAAGATGGCGCCAAGGCCATGGGCTTCCCCGTGGGGTGGGCTCCCAGAAGCAGACGAGAAGCCCTCTGGATCCTTCAGATCTCCCATGCCGTCAAAAAGGAGGAGGACTCTTTCTGGGTTCTTCAAGAGGCTGGCGTAGACTTCATGGATGCCCTGGCAGGAGCCACCCAGGGAATCCGAGAGCAGGGACCTGAAGTCGTGGTAGGTGCCGTGCAGCAGGCTCAGCCTCCGGCAGTCAAATTGGAAAACGAAGTCAAATTGGGGCATGTGGCCATCGGCCCAGTCCAGGCAGATCTTCTGGACCAGAAGACTTTTCCCCATGCCCGCCTTCCCCAAGACCACGATGACTCTGCTGCCAAGGTCGTTTTTCCTGGTCATCTGGAACAAGCTGCTTCTGTCCACGGAGGCCTCCCACTTCTCTCCCAGCTGGCAGCGCCTCAGGTCTGCACTCCTCCCGCCCCTGCCGTCCAGGTGATGCTGCACCAAGTCCCTCTCCAGGTAAAGGTGTCCCAGGGGCTGCCCAGGGCCCGAACGGCATTCTCTGCGGAAATGCTCTTTCAGCTCTTTGCAGAAAGCCCGGACCAACCCTAGAAAAGGAGGACAGGAAAAGGATCAAGGCCCAGCGAGGGGACAGGGAAGAAAGCCGGACCCTTTAAGGAGTCCAGATTCCAAAATCCTGGCCTGATGACTTCAGCTTTGGTGCTGTGGTGGTCTTGAGGTCCAGCTCTCTTGGAGTCAGCGGGTGGGCAGGCTGAACGAACGAGAAGAATCACCTGGGGAGGTTGGTGCATCTGGAGGCAAGCAGGATTGCTGGGCGTTTTCAAAGGTGAAGATCATCTGGATGTTGCTCCCATGGCGTGGGATGCACCAGAGCTCCCCATTTGCAGAGGGCCCTGGAAGAGAGAGAGGGGGGGGAGGTTGCTCTCGGCCCTCCTTCTGTCCCGCAGAAGAAAAGGGAACGGTGGCCCAGCCAGAGTCAACCAGGAACCCTGGTGCAGCTAGTCCAAGGCTGGGATCTCTGGAAGGGCTTTCATGTACCCAGCGCTTCTGGAGATCTGCCCGCAGGGCCCACGGTGGCCACCAAAATTTGCAGGTGGAAGTCGGGTGGAGAGTTGGTGCCATCCTGGCCGGGGTTCAGCGGGATGGCAAGGGGGTCCCCGCTCACAATGCACAGAGCCGGCGGGTGAGCTGTCAAAGGAAAGGAAGGTTAGGCTAGATGGGCTCCGTCCCCTCCCTCCCTCCCTCTCCCAGGCAGAGGCCATGACTCCAGCAGCCCAGGGAGAGCCTGGTGGGTGTTTGCACCCAACTGGCCAGAAGGTGGAGCAGGGAAGGGAAAGTGGAAGCCCCTGGAGGCCCCCTCCTCTGCTCAGTCAGTGCCAAACATTTCCTTGTTTGGAAAAGTTGAAAAACTTGAAAAAGGAAACTTGAAAAAGTTTCCTGTTTCATTTCCTTGCTGTCTTCAGATGCGCCGGACTTCCAAGCCAGTGGCAGGGGATGATGGGAGTTGAAGCCTCAGGCTTGGGGAAGGGCTGTTTTCCAACCCCCAGATGGCTTGCCCTCTTGTAGGGAGGGGAAGGCTTGGAGGGCCGACGGCAGGAGTAGCAAGGGCATCTTGGAAAGCCCCGATCAGGAGGGGAAAGGAACAGGGCGAGGTGGGGGCCATGCCAGCAGCAGCAGAGCTTCGCACGGGGCCTTTCGAGAGCGGAAGGGGCTTGGGGCAGGGGTCCCGATCTCTGCACACCCCAGTTACTGGAAGAGAAGCCGCCACTGAAGGAGCAGCCCACTCACCCAGCCTCTGGCGCTTGGCTTCGGGGGGGTCCGAGGATGGGCCTGCAGGGGGAGAAACGCCAGATGAAGTGGGCCATGTCTCTGCTGATGCCCTTCTTTGGGCAGGGGGCTTAACAAGGGTCTCGGCAGCCCTGAGGATCTGTAATCTGTCATCCTCTGAACCTGAACCTGCCTCCGTCTTAATCTAGCATCTGGAACCTCTGGAAAGCTGGGCCGGGTCAGGCCTTCTGAGCTGCCCCTCCTGCTCCCGGCTCTCTCACTTACCCCAGCTTTTGGCCTCTGCGCAGCCCCCAGGCCCTTCTGCAGCCCCCACATCCCAAAAGAGGCTTTCTGGGGATGAAGAGAAGAGCAAGAGATGACTATTAGCATGGGGGGAGGGGAGCAGATGGGAAAATAGTGGCGGGGGGGGGGGGAGCGTCCCCCGGGTTACCAAAGCCCAAGGAGCCGGTTCTCATGAAGGATGGGAGGGAAGGAGGAGACAGATGGGCACGGAGCCCTTTGCCCAAGGAGGCTCTCCTGCTTAGGCCGCTCCGAGAGGCAAGGGCCACTTTTCTGCCCCCCCCAATGGGCCCCATCCAGACCAGGGGAAGGCCAGACCCCTCCAGGGGAGCCCTGGAAGCAAAGCAGGGAAAGACGGGGCTCACCAAAATGCTCGTCCGCCGGGGCATCTTGCTGGTCTTTCAGCAAATATTCAGCCAGGGCAGCTAAAGATGGGAGGGGGGCAAGTGGGGGGGGAGAAACATGACCTGAAATGTCAGGCACCACAAATCCTTTCCGAAGTGTAACTCCCCCTCATCAAAGCGGGGCCATTTTGCCTCCCCCTTAAATGCAGCTCCTGGAGGGGAGGGGCCCTTTGCCATTGTGGAAGTGGGGGGCATGCTCCAGGCTGGCCTGAGGGGTCCTCCTGCCCTGCTGACTCCCCCAATGTCCTCAGCTGGGCATCCCGGGGGTGCCTTTGGGCAGTTGGACTCCTGAGTCGGGTGGAGTTGCTGCCCTGACTGGAGATGGGCACCGTTTCCCATCAGCTGCTCCTCCAAAGTGGGGGGGGTTTGCCCTACCAGCCCCCCCCTCTGCCTTCTCAGGTCCCGGGCTGTGACCCAAGGAAGGGCACCGCCTCTGCTCGGATGTGCCCTCAGGCCGCTGACCCTCAGGGGGGGACCCACCTATTTTGTCATAGGCCTCCCCCATATCGGAGCAGAGGCAGACGACTTCTCCGCTTTCGTCCCTCTCCACCGTGTAAAACACCTCGGGGTTGTCTTGATCGTCACTGACCACCTCAGACGCTTGAACTTGGGGGGGGGAAGAGAAGACGCCATTTGTGACCCTTCTCTCGAGGCCTGCCCCACAGAGGCTGGAGCTCCCTGCCCTCCGCCTCCAGAGAGACAGGCTGCCCTCCCAGGGAGGCTCCCCTTGAGCCAGGCTCAAGCACCTGCAGGCGCCACGGCCATCTCGTCCACCGATGCCAGGTGGGTCTCACTCTGCAGGCAGTGGGTCTCCGGTGGGATCCCTCCAGGGCTCACATCATCTGAGGCAGAAACAGCAGGGAGGAAAAAGTGGACGAAGCTCTTAAGAAAGGGAAACAATAGACTTTCAGTCCCTTGCCTTGGGCTGCTTTAAGGTGGGGGCTGTTGCTTGGAGGACATCCCACCGCCTGCTTTGGAGAGAAATAATTAAATGCCGCTTTTCTTTCCTAACCTTTATGCCTGGATTCGCTTTCCAAAGGTCTGGAGAGAAGATGCTCTGAAGGAAAATGACATTTGGAGGGATTTTTGCACGAAAAGGGATGCAGGTACGTGGCTGATCCAGGCTTTGCTTTATTGGGGTTTACTGAATAAACCACAACTAGATAGCCAGCTTCCCAGTGAGGCACTAAGCTATAAAACAGAGTTTGCAATCTGGCTGGGATCAGTTTATTGAGCCTCTGAGGAACCCTCAGGTGGAAAACCTGTGATTAAGCTGCACAATGCAGCCCCAGCAACTTTTCTACACTCCTGTTTTTGACTCTGAACGGTTCAAAGGAGAGACCTCACAGCTGCGCTGTTCACAAAAGGAGAACAGAAAGTGGGCTCAGATCTTCTGCCTTCTATAAATATCTGGGAGGGGGAGGGAGGGGGCGACTCCAGCTTAGCTCAAACAAATGTCAAGGAGGGCAAGAAAACATCCCATCTCTTTGGAAGACCCACACACACACACACAAAGGAAGGAGAGCTGTGCCACTGGTAGCAATTCAAAAGTCTCCCCTGATTCGTGATCACAGTTGTAACATTGAGGTCTCGGACACCTGACAGGAGGATGGGGTGAAGAACGGAGGGCGAACCCCTTCCCCTCTGGACGGAGGAGGAGTAGAGGCCGGTGGGCGGCCTGGAGCTCCTTTCAGGTCTAGCCAAGCTTGCCAGAGTCAAAATGTTTTGGCTCCTGGTCAGCTGCACTGAACGAGCCTCGGTCCAGCCAGAATGTCTGAACTGGAAAGTGAACCTCGTTTCCCCAATTGCCTTCTTTTAAACAAAGTGCAGTTCGCTGCACGCACAGAACAGGGATGCAACCCGAGGCAGAGCTGCAAGACCCCACCCTGCAATTTAAGAGAGGAGGGGGCTGCCCCCTTCTGCTCTCTTCCCTGAGAATTTGAGGGCAGGGCCAGCTTGCCGGTTTGCCACTCCAGGGCCACTGACTTTCTTCTCCACAAGCAACACCACCGGCTAAACTTGGCAGCATCGATGAACAAGGTGGGGTCTTCTCACAGTCCCTTTCTCACAGTCTGGTTGGCAAAGGAGGCTCACGAGAGCAGCAGAGGATCCGGAAGCCAGAAGCAGAGAAATGAGATTCTCAGGGTGCGAGAGGGGAGAAAAAACCGACCTTGCAGGAAACTTTCAAACCGTCCTTTCTGCAAAAAGGCTGGGATGGCGAGTTCCAGATGATGAGCCATCCTGGATGCCCCTGGGCAAAGTGGCCAGGCTGCCAGTCCTTTTCTCTTGCCACAGGTGACTACCCGTAAACAGTAGGAAAATCCCGACACGGGTGTGAGGAGGAATTCCCCTGTTTCAAAATTCTGTTTCAAAAACATTCTATCGAGAGCTTCCAAGTTGGTAACTCCCTTCCCTGAGAACAGACGCCTGCCTGCCTGCCTGCCTGCCTGGCTAATAGCCTGGCTTTCTCCTCTGCCCGGCCACACTCCCTGCAGGGCCCAGGTACCTACCGTCCAGGTGGCCACACACACTACTTCAGGCTCATGCGGAGGAGAGCTGACTCCCAATGTGCTTCCTCACTTGCTTTGTGTGTGCAACTAACACATCAGAAGTGAAAGTGGACTCTGGTTTCATTATCTCCTCTCTCTGATTCTGATTCTATCAGGTCCACCCACTTACCTCTTTGTACTTCCCAGCAGCCTCTGCTCCTCCCACCCAGGACAATTTTGCCTCCTCGAGGGCGGCCAGTGTACACTGCAGTGTGAACGCTGGCACCAACATGACTGCAGTCATTGCACGGGCATCAGTGCACAGGAGAGACCAGGGATGGGAAGGGCTGAGCTGGGAGCTGGCCCGGATCGTCTCAAAGGTCATTGCTGTGGGTCCCCCAAAACCCCACCCCGGGTGAGGTTGATGATGAAATTAGCTGGCGCTCTGGACTGCAATTCCCATCATCCTGTCATCCAGCACATTTGTCTGTAGGTTCCTTTCTCAAATTAATTATTTTTGTTAATGGTTCCAAGATTTTAAAATGAGATTCTAAAATGTCCCCCTGCCCTATTTATGACATTAAATTGAAACTCAACAATATTTAAAACATAAGATCAAAAAAGGCAGTTGGCAAAACCTATGGAGAAAAAATCCCTCGCCCATTTAATTCTCAAATAGGATAAATTCTACCTATCAGACGGATAGATTGGATCTATCCTACTTGAGAATTAGTGTTCATTGATTTCCGAATTAAATTTAAATTCATGTTAGGTTTAAGTACCTACCTATCTACTTATCTGTTTGAAAGACAAAGCCAGTGAAATTATCCAACTGACCAGGAAGGTGCTCCTCAGAGTGAGGTTGGATGTACCTTAATTCCCTTCCCATATAAATACTGAAAAATCTGCAGTGCACAGAGAATCATATGATATTAACCAAGCTTACCGGCCCAGTTTCTAGTCCTCAGTGAGACAGCTCCATTCTTAGCATTTTCTGTAGAATTGCCAGAAAGCTGTAAGGAAGAGAGGCCGGTGGAATTCGATGGCCCAGCCTGTTTTCCAAGCAGGGTGAGAGCCACCTTCCTTGCTAAATCATCCACGTCTTTTTCATAAAGTAAGCTCTGATAATATTCCTTGGATAGAATTCCTTCCCTCAGCATGGAGTCCAGGAAGGCTTGAACTTGTGGGGCCGAAGCAGTTAATAAAATCTCCCTCACTTCTGGCAAGATTTGCTTGAAAATATCCATTTTGGCAGCAGGAGCGCTCCGATTTCTCTGAATTATTTATGCTGCACTTCCCTGTTTTTATATGGATATTTATATGGCAAACTCATCTTACCAGGGTTCCAAAAAGATGAAGTGAAAAAGAGAAAACGAACAATGCGTTTGATTTGGGGAATCATCACTAATATTTCCTCATTTCGCAGAACGCATGAGAGCATCTTCCAAGGATGCCATCTCCCCTATTTTTTTAAAAATCATTTCTAAAAATTGATCTTAGCAATAATGGAGGTATTGCTTGGATGCTTGCAATTAATAGCAAAATTCTACATTGTAAGTGGGATGTTTTTTTTTGTTTGTTTTGAAAAATCCCCTAAGAATGGGAAATTCACTCAAACCGTTGCTAGAGTCAAATAGAGACTTTGTGGTGGTGAGAGCGAGAGCGCCTTGCTTGTGAATCTACACGTTTAATTTTATGTGTTTATTTGCAGAAACGTTTGGCAGAGTTTCTGGACCCTCCAACCGCAGAGTGGTGGGTGTTTGGCCCCCTCCCTTTAAATCCACCCCAAGAGACTCCAGAACCGCAGCAGCGGGATCCGAGGCGGGGACGCCTGGTAGAGACCTCCAGGGAGATCGGGGGCGGCGGAGGCGTTTCCACCGGCGCAAACGGCTGGACCGGAGCGAGGCTGATGGGACGCTTCTCCCACCCCAAGGAGGGCATTCCGGGAGAAAGCTTCTGGCAGTTGGGGCAGCCCGGGACAGATGGGGCTCAGTCTGGAAGTTGCTCAGGCTTGGGGTGCATCCCAATGTTTCCAGGAGTTCCCCCAACCCAAACCAGGAAGGGCAGCTCAACAGCGCCCAGGGCAGGAAGGGGAAAACCGGGCTCCCCGCTATCCGCCTGGCAGCCTCGCTCGCTCGCTCGCACTCGCGGCTCCCCCTCTGGGTTCACCTGCCACCACCGACGGACTGTTCCTCAGGGGCGGCCGCCGCGTCTCCTCGGGGCGCTTCTGCCTCAAAGGGCCCCGGGCAGTCGGCCAGCAAAGTCGCCTCCTGAAAGGCGAACCTGCGGGCGTGTCTCCTAACAACGCAGGGAAATTCCACTTGTTCAGCTATGCAAATGCACGCCAGATGCAAACATACTGGCTCCTTTAGAAAGCTTGGGGGAGGGGGTCTACGAGCCCCTTCCCCCTTATGCCCGAGTCTTCTGCTGCAGATTATCAGGCCAAGTTTTGCATTTTGGCCTGGATTTCAGCTGGGTGATGTTGCATTAGCTCCTTGGTTGCCATGAAGCCAGAGGCTGCTTTGCAATACCTGGCAGGCAGAAAGGCATGTTAAGTGGAAAAACCTCACTAAACAGCTCAAGGATGGGCATCGGCAGTATTCCAAAATTGGGAGACCCGAAAGAGCAACCCAGACCGGGGACTTTGGCCCGTCACCCAGGAGCTGCCCAAAGCCAGGCAGTCTCTGGGCCAACCTGCCCCTCGCCCGCCTGGACAGCAGCATCCCTGCTCTGGTCGCCATAGCAACGGCCAGGAGGAGGCAGGATGTTGGGTGGATCCTGCTCACATCCGCAGAGGCCAGAGGAGGAAGAGGAGGAGACGGAGCCAAGAAGATGAAGCAGGTGGGGGAGAAGGGGCTGAAGGGGAGGGGAGGGGAGGGGAGGGCTGGCTTTGGACAGGATGCACGAGGCTGTGAATAAAGCAGGGAGAGAGACTTCCCTGCACAAAGGGGGTCTGGGAGAGTCTTTGGCACTGAGCGCAGAAACAGGACCACAAGGCAAAATGGGCAAGGGGACAATCAGGTCTGGGAGTCAATTATTTTGAACGGGATCCATTTTCTGGAGGGAGGCCTGTGTGCACACCGTGTCTCTGGAAAATGAGAGGCAGGGAGTCCCTCTGCTTTAGGAGACACAAGGAGCGACTCAACCCTTCAGTCAAAACAGAGGCTTTGTGTGCTTCCCCAGACCCGGAAGAGGCACCTCCACGCAGGTAGGCAGCCAGCTGGCAAGAGCGAGGCCTGGCGTGAAAAGAGGAAGCCACACCAGGTGGGAAAAGCCGCTTGGAAACATTGAGCAGGAGGGGAGCAGGTTTGCCAGTCACAGGAGGGATGGGGGTGGGGACGGGAAAGCTCTGCTGGAAAAGGAGGAGGGAAAGAGGCCTGATTCTGCCAGGGGTGGCTTTTCAGGCCTTCATCACGCCTTCCCTGTGGTGCACTTCTGAGCTTGCTCACACAGGGTCCATCTCTTGCAGACCTTAGCAGATGACACGGAAGACGTCTCCCTCGACTTTGGGAATGAAGAGGAGCTGGCCTTAAGAAAGGCAAAAGTCAGGTAAGGAGGGGTGCCTCTTCCAACTGCCCCCCCTCCCAACGGCCTTCTATCCGTTTTATAAACAGACCTCTTTTTTATGTACGATGCATGCACAGGCAAACTTCTTTTTCAGTTTCTGCTTCACTGGTTGAGGGTTTTTTCCCTGCTCAGCTGAATTTGGGGCTTATTTGGTAGAAAGCTTGTTGGAATTCTTTGTTTTGTAACCGCATGGCACAGCTGTTCTTATGGAAGCTGACAGAAACCTTTGGTATTTCTGGCACTTACTTGCCAAATTAATTGGCTGTCCAGAATCATTGAGAATTGGGCTGCACACAAGTTTAATATTGTTCCAGCAATTGTTTAAGTGTAGCCTAAATGTTTTGGATTTGCTTTTAAAATTACTTGATTAAATATGGTGACCTTTGCTGTTTGGGTCCAGAACTATCCAAAAGAGGCTTCTTTACTGAAATTCACAGGTGCAAATAAAATATTTACCCTTGCTGTTCTCTTGCACCTACTGTTGCCAGGCAGGTAAATATTAGATCATCTCATAATGTCCCAGGTGTCCTTGGAATCGGCCTGGCTGTCAACAGTTCACCTTTCTCTTTCTCACTGACTAATGTAAACACACCCTGCAGGGCTGGCTCGCTCTTGCAGCAGATGGAGCTCCACCAGGAAGTCAGTGTGCCAACCCCCAGCCAGGCCCGTCTGGCCTTTGCCCTCCGCCCGGGAGCCCCAGAGCAGCAAAGAAATCCTGCGCTACCTGAATGTTTAAAGCAGGGGTGTCCAACCTTGGCAACTTCCAGAATTCTGGACGGTTCCTTCCTAGGTACCCGCTGGCCACCTTTTTCCACCTTTTCTTCCGCGTGAGTGCCATCGTGACCTACCTCTTCTGTGACTGGTTCAGCAAAAGCTTCATCGCCTGCTTCCTCCTCATCCTCCTCCTCCTCTCCTTTGACTTCTGGTCTGTGAAGGTAGGCCTTCTGCTGGCCTCCGCCCAAGAGGCCCCGCTGGGCCACCTTCATGATGTCAAGGCAGGCAGGCGGCCACCGAGGTCCCTTCTCAGTATCATCTTCTCTTCCTTAGCTTCATAAAACTTACTAGCGCTCTTGTTGGCGGGCAGATAAAAGTGGCACCGAGGAAGTAAACACTGTATTTGCTTTATTGGGTAGGAGTTTGTTATTTAACCGGTGCCAACTATGGAAAAGGCACTTTGTTCTCCTAGATAAAAAGGGAGGAGGGATAAAATAGTCTAAGCCGGGATCAAGCAACTGGAGAAATTAATTTAAAGGCCACAGTTGCAGCAACTGCAAGGAAGGAGACATCTTCTTGCATAGCTTTCCAACCCAGGGCGTGCCAGGCCATCGGCTCCCTTCTAACCAGCCGGCAGTCACAGTGTTGCAATCCTCGACCGAGGGGCTCTGATGGGCGAGTCACGACCGGTGTCTCCAAATTACGGCACAGGGAAATGGAGATGCTGGTCCTGGTGGACCCAACCTGGTTTAGCTGGGATGAAGGGCCTCCTACATTTCTGTAGTTCCAAGAAACTCCCCAAACTCTCATCTTTGTTCCCCGCGATCTCTCCCTAAATGCACCCTCTTCTTTATCTGCCCCATCAGAATGTCACCGGAAGGCTGCTGGTCGGTTTGCGATGGTGGAATCAGATCGATGAGGATGGGAGAAGCCACTGGGTGTTTGAAGCAAGGAAGGTAGTCCTTAGCCGTGTTTCTTCTCTTGCCAACACCTAAACTTTTTGGGTCTGTTTATGAAGTGGAGCCATTTGCTCTTGAACTGCAAGAGAAAAGCCTCCAGGCGAACCGGAGCATCTCCTTTCCAGCCTGGGGGCAGCGAGAGAGCATAACCCCCAGCTAACATCACAATAGTTGGAAACGAGGGGATTTTTCATTTCTGGCCTGGAAAAGGGAGGGGGGCTGGAAGCTTTGTGCATTTTGGAGCGCCTACATTTCAAAGAGGATCACAAATTGTTTTGTCTATTCTTTTGGACCACATAAACCCAATCAAAACATCACATTTTAAGGAAGTTTGCTTGCTAGCATGAAGAAGTGAATCTGCTTTCTTAATATGAGACAGTATCTGTTCCCATTTCTGTTGAATGCTGTTGTCTTGAGAGCAACATCCACAACTGAATAGCTTAAAATAATTTGCTTTTCTCTTCTTTCAAGGGCCTCTCTACTGTGGCTCCCCCCACTGAGGTAGAAGCCCGGATCTTCTGGCTCGGGCTGATCATCTGTCCCGTCATCTGGATCTTGTTCTTCTTCAGCACCTTGTTCTCTCTGAAGCTGAAATGGCTGGTAAGGCTGGGCCACCCTTGGCAGAGTCCCGCTGGGACTTTGAGAACGCCAAGGGGCTTTTCAGACGGCGGCTTTTGCCCAGATGTTTTGCAACCATTGCTAAATTCTTTGTGAGCAGGTGGGGATGGAGTAAAGCCTGCACGGGGGGTGGGGGGCACACAGGGCCCCTGTGCGGTGGAGGCCTCCTTGGTGGGGCACTAAAGCATTTTCTGAGTAAGGAGACAGGGAGAACTCGGTTCTCCTGTGCTTCTTCTGGGTGGCCTTTGACAGACTGGCTGTCACCCGACTCTTGCAAATCTTACTCAGCCAACTTTCCTGAAGCTTTGCTTTCAGCTAGAACTTTGCAGCCTTCCAGGGTAGAAATTTAAAAAGAACCTCAGGTTCTCAGGAATATCTTCGTAATTATGTGAAGGTGCTTTGCACAATCGTAAAAAAAATCTGTAAGAGTCTGCCTTTCTGAAAGTCATCCTCATCCATCAGCCATCCCGTTTATGCTGAGTGAGGGCTGCTTTCCCAGGTCCCAGGGGTCTCTCCTTGGGGGTCTTCCCAGCTCCCTGAAGCCTTTAAGTCACTAGAAACCTGTCTACGAGTCTGCTGCTCCCTACCCTTTGTGTTCCAGGCACTGGTGATAACTGGCATCTGTCTCCAGACGGCTAACCTTTACGGCTACATCCACTGTAAACTCGGGGGAGCTCCCCAAACCATCCACAAAGTCGCCTCACACTTCCCGGCCCAGGAGATCTTCCAGAAGGTGAGCGGAAGAGCCTCCTGCCTGACTTTGGGGGTTAAGCATCAATGGGGAAGACTGGAAATGTAGGTGGCTTTTTAAACAGAGGGAATCGCTCAATAAATCCTGGCAATGAGGGGGGAGGGGCTGTAACCGAGGCAGGCCTGAATTCACTTGGGGGGGGGGGGGGGAGGAAATCTACCACACCTCCACACTGGCTTTGGCTTGCTGGGTTTTCCACCTCTTTGGCAACCAGCCTTGTTTTATTGCTCCTGCAGGAACGATCAGAGGACTTTCAAAAAAACGTCCTGAAGCATCTGGGGACCCAAAGCCATTAAAATGAGGATGCCTGGGAAGTCCCCGGGGGACGGTTTCTGCGCTAAAGACCAAGTCAGGCTGCATTTCGCTTCAGAAGGGCCAACACAGCACATTCAGCAGCAGCTTCCTCTTGGCTTCACATCCCACGTGACGCTTTCTAGCATAGCATAGCAGCCCTTTTCTGGGAAGCTGTTCTGGCCTTTCCCTCTGCTGGAGCAGGTGAAAGGCTGATGCCGAGCTCCAAGCTCTGATCCCATCCCTAAGAGGAATGCTGGCTTCTCCCCTTGCGAGGCAGGCCTGGAAACCTCTTCCTCTCCCTACTCCTTTGGGGGTGGTCCCTCGGAACCCTTAGCGGCTCCTTCGCAATTTGACAGGAGGCCTCCAGCAAGCCTGGCATAAAAATTCAGCCCAGCTCCGATTCTGTTACGCATCATTTCAGCATTTGTGGGTGGCTTTCTAGGGCCCTACAGCAGGGCCTGGGTCACACATTTCTTTCTGCCCCCGTTCACCTGCGGAGGGTGCTGGGGGCACTAACCAGTCATCCTTCCTGCCAATCTCTCCCTGGGGAGCAGCAAGGGGCACGAGAGGAGGGCCTCTGCCCACAGTCTTTGTCTTCTCCCTGCTTTTTGCAAGAACATTTGATCTGAGAAGCAGATGAGGAAATGAAACAGCGATCCCTGCTTAGAACTAGACTGACACAAACAGACAGTGAGTTATTTTTATTTGCATTCTTAAAAGAGCTAATATGGCACTACACGGCATCTCTCGTGAATAGGACCCTGTCGGTATCACCCTTTTAAAACACCTGAAGAATGAGACTAAACAAAATTTGGGGAACTGACTTTAAATAGTCCTCAAATATAAAAAGAAAGACTTACGTTTTTCTCAATAAAAGCAACCTCTGAACTTGTCTCCAGTGGCTGATTTCACTAGTGAAGATAATTATTAAGGGAAGTTATCAAATCATGATAAGTGGATCTGCTCCCAGGAACAAAACGCAGCCTGTTCTGGAAAATTTAGAAAGGCTCTACCTCAGAAAAACATCTCTGATTAGCAAGTATTATTCAAAGGTATTTATTTGCATATACACGCTTATGCACTTATATAGATATGCACAAAGGATCCACATTTATCTGCTACTCAGGTCATGTTTTCTTCCTGTGGGGAGTTCTGATTACAGTAGTCCTGGATTCCTGCAAAAAGACCCAAAGCAAGAATTGCACTCAAGTTCCGTGATGCTTCCCTCTCTGGCCGGCTTCCGGCCACAGGCACGAAGGCCACAAGGTGGCTCTTGGGTGGCCTGTGGCTGAAAATGACTCTGTGGGCCATAGAGATTTGCTGTCCAAAACAATTTTTTTTTTTAAAAAAGGATGACCTGAAAGGCTTGCATGAAGCCCCCGAAGGGCTGAACTCACTTTGGATAATGTTCCTGCAAGACAGGGTGGCTGGAGAATGTGGTGCTTCAGCTAAGGAAGAGTGGCCTCTGTCACAACTTTTTCCTGCTCGAGGAAAGGGGAAAAGGGAAGGTGCAAATTTAGTGAAATGACCCCTCCAGTTCACCATCAGGAGGTCTCCTCCACTTTGAAGAGCAGAGATTCTCACTGCCAATCTGCTGTTTGGCGCCAAAAATGCGCCCATGGGTTACCTTACCTATTTGAGGATCGAGAGGCATTTTCCCCAGGAGAGGCACATTTAAGGTGCGGCACATCATCTCTGCACCCCCCGTGGTGGGAGGAAATATTTGGGACTCTTTCTGTAAAAGGGGAAAACTGTCACACAGGCTCGGAGATGTACCAGAAAGGAGGGGCCTGAACAGAGAGGTCTCTTCCACTGCAGCCCAGAGCAGTGAAACTGAGCCTGCAGCCCCCTCGGGGGCAGGGAAGACTCCTCCCTGGCCAGCTACTCAGGGTTGCAGGAGCTCTCTGGAATTCATAGGAGAGCCGTTTTGGTAGCTGGAGAAATAAATTCTTCAGGACTGGCTTGGGGGTAACAGAATCTCGCCGTGGAAGGACTGGACTCAGCAAGAATTAATTATCCTGCTTAAAAGTTATTAAAAGAGCTGTAACAATACCTTACATTTGGGGCATACGAAGCCGCTCATATTTTCCACCACTCCAATGACAGGTAGCTTCACCTTACGGCAGAAGCTGATCTCTTTCCGAACATCTTGAAGCGCCACTTCCTATGTGAAAGAAAAGCTGACCGCTAATCCACTTCTCCCGCATTAAAGAGTCGCACTTGAAAGGAAAAAGTGGCCCACTGACCACACTGCCCTTAAGGTTTGGCCTAGGGGTCCTGCAAGCACTGCCGGGGGAACTCACACTATGATATCTACCTGCCTCTTCTGCTCTTCCTGCCCTTCCCCTTCTCAGGTGACCTCCTCTCCCAAACCCCAAAAGGCTGTTCACAGTGTTGTTTCTGCAATTCTGGCCGTATCTACCCATTTTCCTTCAAAACTGGTTCATTTACCTCCTGCTCCAATTGTGCTTCCCACTTACCTGTTAGGAAAAAATGGGGACAGCTATGGAGTTTTAATCAGAAGGCTGAGCCGATTAAAATAAAAGACTTATTTCCTGCCATGTGCATCTGGCAGTGCTCGCCTACATGCTTACAGCCCAACTGAAATGCCGTTACTGAGGTTCCGTATCTCACCTGTGGGGTGGTGATGACCACTGCCCCATCGACTCTGGTGCTGCTGAGAAACTGGACTATGGATATATGTTCATCAGATGTTCCCGGAGGGGTATCTACAATCAGGTAGTCAATTTCACCCCAGTCCACATCCCGAAGAAACTGCTTAATCATCCCTAAAAATAATAATAGTGAAAATAAAGGGAGGAACTGGGTCTTTGCGGGGGCTAAAATTTACCCCAATCACTCACATGAAGTGTGTCTCTGTGCTGCAATGTATTTTTCTTAATATATTTTCACACGGCCACCAGCAAAAATAATTATTGACTAGTCATCAAGCTCTAGAATTAAAGCTAGTTTAATTTTAACTAAACTTGTGGAAGTTCCAGAAGTGGAGAAGCCATTGCCATTCAGATGCAAATAAGTAGCTGGTATTCTTTGCAGGGGCTGAGAGACACAAACCGTTTTTTTTCGGTCCTCTCCAAATAACAGCATCATCAGGGCTGCTCAGCAGAAACCCCACTGACATCACACCCAGGTTTTCTTCAACGTACTAGAAGACGGAAGCACATACACAACTGATCAAACAAAAAAACACAGATGCCTTATTATTTCTGTGTATGAAGCAGCTGCAACCTTATCACTCCTAGAGTTCACACAGAGATCAAGTATCTCTGTGTCTAGGCCAAACCTTTTCAGAAAGTAAATAAATCTGTCCTCAGTCAATAAAATAATATAAGGGACTTCAGCACCAAAATAGGGGAATACGGGAGAGGCCATCTAATGTTTGCTTTTTCTTGACTAAAACATATTACTTTCTAATTTTTGACCGGGAAGTGGCAAACAGCAGAAAAGACCAGAGTTCTCACACAGTTTATTAAGAAACAGCCACAGCAACTCACCACTGGAGACCAGCCGGATCCACTTTGATGAACCTGAAAGGAGGTTTCGAAATGTTAATATGAACATGGCACTTGGCATCACAACAATTTGCTATTGCTCTATATTTGTAGTTCATAGTGACAGGTGATGATATTCATGTAGTTAGAAAAAAACCAATACATAAAGACTAGATATTGGTTAAGAGAGTGACAATCCACAAGCATCCCCCCAAATCAGGGAGAGGAGCCAGGCACCCTCTTTTAGAAACATGCAAGTTTTCTACAACAGAATTTTCTGTTCTGGGATTGATCCTTTAAGTACATCTTATTATTAGTTTCCAAAAGGCCAGTTCCCACTTTGCAGAACTATTAAACCAAAAATAAAGAGTGTCCAGGTTACTTTATTTTTATCTAGAAAGCTGCATTTTAAAAAGGGCTGCAGGGTACAATCACTGACATCCCGAGTCAGAGAGCAACACAAAAAACCATTTCTGACATACAAAGCCACACCTGTTCTCCCTCAAGGCCCATGATTTTCGGGATGGATGGTCCACAAATGTCAATGTCCAGGATGGCAACCTGGAGTGGGAAGAGACAGTCTGGAATTGCAATTTGCAAAAGGACATAATCACTACTTGCTATCAAGTAACATTGTTTATGTGTGGCCTTCCTCACGAAGCCATCATGAGAAATTGCTTGTTTCTCCTTGTCTCCATTGTCAGGCCACTGTTACAACAACCTCTGTGACACAGAAGACCCTCACCTGCGTAGTTTCGTCCTCTGCTAATCCGTGGGCCAAGAGAGCAGTGAATGTGCTCTTACCCACACCTCCTTTCCCAGACAGCACCAGCAGTTTGTGCTTGACAGCTTTCATTTTTTCCTTGATTTCCTCAATAGCTTCACGGAGGGGAAAACAACAGAAAAAGCTTTAATAAAACATTTTGCATTTGAGGATGGAGGGAGTCGGATATCGTACGGAACATGGTCTTCCTCTCATGACTGAGTGGCTTAGTCCCCAGCCTGCCATTAATCCCCTCCCCCATCTCTTATAGCAATAGCACTTAAGACTTATATACCACTTCACAGAGCTTTACAGCCCTAAACGGTTTACAGAGTCAGCGTATCGTCTCCAACAATCTGGGTCCTCATTTTACTGACCTCGGAAGGATGGAAGGCTGCGTCAACCTTGAGCCGGTGAGGATCGAACCCCTCACCCACAGCTCAAAGGCAAATGAAAAAAAGCATTAAGAGCCCTGCAAGCTGCCATCAGAGGCTCCCTCCCAAGCTCATTTCTCCAAGCTCAGTTGCATAACGCACACATAACGTACCTGGGTCGGGGCCAGCAAGTTGTCCCAAGGAACACAAGCCCTGGTTGGGACATCCTTGGCAAGCGTCAGCCTTGCCTGCTTCATTGCTGCCAGTGCCTGGACAGTCTGGTGGGGATATGAAAAAAGGAGGATATTTGCAATGAAGGAAGACGAGGAGCCCCAGAAATGATGGCAACGGATTATGGCCGAAAAGTTAGCATCTTTTTAGTAGGTCAGGGAGAAAGTCCAGCCTGGTTTGAAATCCACAGAAGGGGGTCCCCCTTCCTTCCCTCTGGAAGGACAGAGGACCTTTCCTGCCAGGCTTGAAGTTGCTCTCCTATCAATCCCCTCCACAACCATCTTCCCAGCCCCCTCATCTTCCCCCCTCCCCCTAAGGTTCAAATGCCCCCCCCCCATGCTAATATTTCAAAGGGACCCGAAAACGCGGCTCTTGGCGGGGCCTCTGGCGAGGGTGACTGAAGGCTCCTTCTCTCCTGTGTCCCCACCTGCTTTTCTCACTTGGGCCACCTGGGCTTTTAAACGCTTCCAGCCGTTTGTAAACCGCCCAGAGTGGCTGGCAGTCAGGAGGAGTAGGAATTTAATCGATTAGATTTTTGTCCCACCTTTTGTTCACAGACACACACACACACAACTGAAGGCTGCAAAAACGGCTCTCTGGTTGTTTAGATATTTATTATTTATTAAATGTTTATCTTCCCTACAGGGAGACTCCGGGCGGCTTACGAGATATAAAACGAATAACTCGCCCTCCCTCTGCGGCCTCGCTCCCAGGCCTTTCCAGGGGCTCCGAGGGCGGCCATTCGGCAGGGAGCCGCGCCCCCCGTCCGCCCGGCGCCCACCCTGCTCACCGTGAGGCCGGCCGTCTAGGGAAGGCCCGCTCCCCTCGGCCATAGCGGCGCCACTGCCGGAAGAAGAGCGCACTTCCGGCCGGAGGAGAGACTCCAAAACGGCTCCCCGCGGTGCACCCGAAAGAAATTCCCCCCCGGAAAAAGGGAACGGGCGATGCGGTTCCGTTTGGAGCGCGGAGGGAGGCTGGCGGGGCCGAGCGAGGGAAGGGAAGGCAGGC